CATAGGCCTCATATATGCATCACTGAGGTATACCCAGTGTACTCTGTCAGTTGACCATTTCTCAATTAACTGCATTTGAATGTATTTATATACATATTTGTAAAATTGTGGTGAAACTGTCATAATTCAATGTCAGTTAATTGATTAAATATGAGCTAATATTAAGTTCTAGAGGTCAAATCTTAAAGGCTAACAATTTGGCACTTTTTCAAGATAGCAGTTTGCATTGTCAGATGCACTGAGTAATGACTCGGTTGGTGGTTGTACAAATGCTTGAGTGGGCAAATTGGTCTGTATATAATCATTGAGATGCGGGGGGGGGGGGGGATACAAAAAGTTACAGATTCTGATTATTACCTTAGCAGCGATAAAGTAAAAGTCTCAGAAGTGATAACTCCAACAGTTAAACCACTACACCTCGAGAGCTCAATATCTGTAAAATGTTTTTTGTATTTAATGTAGAATATTTCACATTCATAAATTATATGAAAAAAGACATCAAAAGGTTTAGCTCTCTAATCATAAATGATAGTTTTATAATTTGCTTTTTGTTTTCATGTTTATAAAGGGAACATGAATTGATAGTTTACATTTATTTGAATCCAAAGACTGATCCATATCAGTCAGAAATGCCAGTTTGCAAAGAGCTCTTGTAGCACTTTAGAGGCTAACAGAGAGAAAGAAGTTGCATTAGCTTTTATGGACTAACGTCTATGAGGGAGTAGACATGAAGGCTTGTTACCAACTTTCTCTCAGCTTCTAAGTTGGTACAAGAGCCCATTCATTGTATATATTTATTTGAATGACATCAAACCATTAGGGTTGCGATCTAGACAGTTGACTAAAAATAGGGTGCCCATTGACTATCTTTAGTTAAATATAGTATCCATATATAGCTTCTCTACTATTGGTTCATTTACAAATGTAATTGTACAGAAGGAGATAGACTTCTGTAGATAGACCGAGTGATACCATGCATCCACAAGGATTTCTGACTGTCCCAGTCACCCACACTACATAAGTGCTTTTTTGCGGTACAGGTGTTTGAATATATATATTTTTTTACTGTTCCCCCTGTTCTGTGGGTTGGGACAACCTTGAAACCAAGCTGAGCTGTTCAGTCCCTCTCTCACCTGCTGTTCTGTCTTCAGATATTCCACCTCCCCTAAAGTGAGCTATTTAAGTAGAGTCATTAAGCATCATAGGTCAGAAGGTTAATTATACATGCAAGGGATTGACATAGTATTAGTCTTAAAAACAGAGCTGGGGAAATAGCTAAAGGGAAGTCAGCCTTTGTGTCACTAATGTAGATCTCTCCCTCCTTCCTTCCTTCCTTTCCCTGGTGCACATGCGTGCACACACATTTTGCACTGCACTATACTTTCTCTGATCCCTCCCCTTCAGCATACTTAATGTATAGAGGAGATATGTTAATATGTCTCAGTGAAGTACATTTGATTTATACCTCCTAAAGGTAACTTTTAGATAAGCTTTGCAGATGGATAGACCAGAAAAAAAGGAAGCCACTATTGAAATGAGATTTAAAGGATTTTAGTCATTGATTCAGATGTAGTTGCTTTTGTTCTTCTCCATCTTATCCTTGCCATCCTTCCTAAAAAGAAATAATGCCATAGTGCAAAGTCTCCCAGCTACTTATTAGAGATTCTATAACAGTATAGTCTGAGGTTCATGTACAGTCATAATACGTTCAAAATAAAATTGACCAAACATACATTGAAACCACCTTCATGTAGTCTGTATTTGAATCTGTTAAAATATGCTCACTCTAACATTAGTAGTTTTCCATGAAAGCAAGTTTGCATTTGAGAAACAGCATGTCTTCAGTCTGAAACTAAACTGAAAAATTTTAGTCTTTTTTCATTCCAAAGAATATATACGGGCTTTGGGGAAAAAAGAAAAATAATATTATTCCTGAGTCTCATTTATTTGTGGTCAGTCCTGGAAGTTATATAGATAGAAGAGCTTTGTAATGTTCTTCATAACTTGGAAATGATGACAGATTTTTAATAAGAGAGAGAAAATAACTTTTCCTGTATGCCTAGAAGTGTCCATTTTACTTAAGAAAGTATCAGACCTGAACCCAAGTGCAAAAATTATCTTGCCCCCTCCTTCCCTCACTGCCCCCTCCACATCATAATCTTCTCTATAAAACACATTTCTGTTGTAAAGAGAGGCTTTTGGATAATAGAAAGGAGAACAGATTGAGATAGCACTGAAGAGTTACTTTCTGTCCTATTTGGGAACACACAGCAGATACATTCAGTTTAGGCCAAGATCCTAAATACTACGAGCACAGTGTAAATATACACCTGAAGGTAGCAGATTCCTTCTGATTTTGGAAGCTAAGCATGGTTAGGCTTGGTTAGTACTTAGATGGAATACCAGCATGGAATACCGGATTTCAAAGGAAGGCAGTAGTAAACCACCTTTGAGTATTCCCTGCCTAAGAAAAGTCATGGGGATGCCGTAAGCCAGCAGGCTACTTGAAGGCACAAATTTATGGGGTTGCTATAAGTTGTCAGGTTACTTGAAGGCACAAACATATATATATATAAATGTACACACTAACTAGATCTCACAATGTGCAATGCACACAACAACAGTGAACAGCAAGACATAGAGCTCACACATTGCCTGCTGGTCAAGTAGAGCCTTACCTACTAAAAGTGGGAGAGAAAGCTACGGTATGTTTGTGAGTGCGAAACAATTGGCTGCACTAGGAATTGCACTGAAATGTAATTGTTTGTGTAACTAGTTTTACCCAAGCATAATTCTCCACAGGACTCCATCCTAAACCAGCTTTTTCTATTCTGGGTCCTTGCAGATATTCTGACTGTACTGGATTGTTAGTAGCTATCATTCAGCACATCTGGGGGCCCCCAATTTGGAGGGACAAGCCCAATCTTTGTACTATCGAAGGCATTCATGGCCAGAATCACTGGGTTGTTGTAGGTTTTTCGGGCTATATGGCCATGTTCTAGAAGCATCTATGGCAGGCATCCTCAGAGACCTCACAACCTCTGAGGATGCCTGCCATAGATGGAGGCAAAACGTCAGGAGAGAATGCTTCTACAACATGGCCATATAATCCGAAAAACCTACAACAGCCCAATCTCAATCTTCTTGATGGTGCAAAAGGAGTAAGGTGTGCAGTTTCCAAGTAGTTTAGTGTATATAATGCATCAAAGTTGACCACAGCTCAATTAAATGTTCCTGAATTATTCCTTGATAATGCCTGGATTTCAGCAGACATCTGAGATAGTCCTGTCCCATTGTAACCATATCTACATTCATCCTGATAAGGAGTAAAAATCTGATAATACTGGGGGAGTGAGGCATTTTGGCAAATAGGACCAGATCTAGGAGGTATGGAATTGTATAATCCTCTTTTAGCTCCATAGTCAGGGAATGCCATCTAATTCCATTCTCATTCACATCTGGTTCAGGTTGGCAAAGAGAAGCTGTGTCATCAGTTCCTTCTTTCTGGAGCATGTAATGAAACAATGCCTCTAAGCTCCTCTGACTTAGCTAAGAGAGTATTCATACTGAGCTTTTAGTCAGCTTTCAGTGCTGTTTTTAGTCCTGGGCCTGTTCCTATTATTGGAAAAAATTCAGGGATTTTTTAACTGAAAGGACTGTGTTTTAACTGTGGAAATTATGCTATGATGCTTACCTGAAGACATTAGAATCAAATTCATAGCTAATTATGGGTTTTTAAAGGCCTGTTGCTATTTCTTTTCTAAGAGTTGGATATAGCCCATCTCAGAGAGAAAAGAAGTGGAATTCCAACAGTGACTCTGTCAGAAGACACTTGTGTAGGGAGCCGGTCAGTTCAAGTTATACAAGCATGACTTGATGTAGCAGCAAGAAAATAAAACTCTCTTTATGTACTTTGGAAGCTAAGGGGGAAGGGCAGTGTGCCTGATACAGTTCTGTAAGAACCACATGGTAAAGAGCAGGATGTGATGCTGGGTAAAGAAATCAGCTTCCTTAAAACCTCAACTTTTGTTGACAAAGTGTGTTTATGCAGTATATATTGGTTTTGAAAGTGGCTATTAATACTCCTGCTAACTATCTTGTTAATACCAACTGAAAAACTGAAAGAGATCTGAATAAGATTTCCATTGGTTGGAGATGAATTGTTAATCTTCTGCATGTTTCCCTGCTAACAATAGAATATTCTACAAAGCCAAAAACGAGGTAATAGCCTACATTTTACATGTATGGTAGTATTATTTGACAATAAAGGCCCAGGTAAGGGCTCCGTACCTTCCTAATATGTAAGGATGTAACTATATGATCTGTTCCTTTGTTTCCCCCTCTCATTTAGAAGCACTACACATTTTACTGCAACCACATTTGAAAACTAACGTTTGTGTTTTACTGTTGCTATATAGTTATTTTGCTTTAATCTTTGTGTTAGTTTTCTTTTATCGTCAATAAGTTGCAAAAGCGATTATTTTAGCTTATAAATATAAAATAAAAATAATGTATAATATAATATAGCTTACAATAAAGGTTATTTTATCTGTCTTCTTTGCCACCATGGTTTTAATACATTTGCTGTATATATGGCTTTATATTTATTATTGTTTTAAATCGTGACTGGCTTTGAGTGTTGCACAGGAACTACAAGGATAAGCTGTTAATATTAATAAGTAATAATAACACAATGCAGTTCAGTTCAGTTTAAATTATAGAAGTGCACCAGTTTGGTTAATTATAATATGTATGTTTTCTATTAGTGTTAGTGTGAAATAATGATTTGTAAGAGATAATATCTGTTGAAGATATTCCATTTGTTCTGGTAAGCAGTGATTGTTACTGTTCAACTGGATGAACTCTTCAAAGATTGGATCAGTCACTGGAGTAAACTGTTTGAGAATTTGTACTTAAGTCAATTATTGCTAACAATTCTGAAGCAAAACCCTCAACACATTCCCACATTTAGTTATCTTTATGTATGTGTTTGTTACCAGAATATTCTCCTTCCTGGATGTGGTCACGCTATGCCGTTGTGCTCAGGTCTCCAGGGTAAGAATGTTTGCATTCCAGTACTGGTAAGGTTTTAACTGCTTGTCTTTTGGAAACCTCCAGTTTGCCATCTTATTGAAAGTCAGTGAAATATCAGTGCTTGACCATAAGTGAATGATCCCTTTGCCTTTCCACTGTTAATCTGTTTGTAACAGTACTAGAAATCCTCTACTAAATTAGTTTAAAGTGAAGCAAATTATTGTTGACTTTTAATTGTTTGGGGTTTTAATCCAGACTTGCATAGAGTCATGGAGGGAAGACTGCTTGCTTGCCAATGTCCTTCTCGTAAGTGATGAGCAAGGAAGGCATTCGTAATATAAATATTAGTTACATTAAAAAAAACTTTCCCGTTCTGCCTCACATGCATGCAAATAGTTTTGATATAAAATATTGTGTCCTTACAGTAGGTAAATCTATTCTCCTACTATGGTGCTTATATACTAATAATTCCAGGTGGCCATGTGGTACTTAGGGAGTACATGAACCTGTATCACATAACGCACACCACATATTGTCTTGCCTCACTGTTCATAGTTCTTTCCTGACCTTTCTTTTTCCAGTCGGCCTCTGTAGCTTTCACTGACATTTATGAAAGATTTTAGAGTTACCCCTTAGTATGAGAAGCTGCATTATTGCTTGGAGAAAAATCTATATGAGTTATTAATTTTCATAGGGAAAATCAAATGCAGCCTCTCCTTTTGAGGGCTCTTGAGTGAAACCTTCTATATTCCCAAATATCAAGATGGAGTTCATCTTGTATAAAATGGTAGCTATTATGGAAAAACAGCAACTCTCATAGATTAGAAAATAATGATATTTAACCCTCATTTAAAAATATTACAAGCTAATATTTTCAACCATTAAATGCTTGGGCAGAAAGAAAAATCTTTATATATTTCCTGTTTACCACATAAGAAAGAGAATGGTAAAGTTGGGAGATCAGTCATCAAGAACACATCTCTGCCTAACTTTATGATTACATCTTCTTGTAAAGCAGATAGGTGATGTTCTGAAAAATTGCTTTCATTTGATGAGGAGGACTGTTAAAAGTATATCATGCATCACTGAAGAAGAAAGGTGGCATAGCTGTTAAAAGCTTGTGATAAGTGGATTAAGTAATTTGGTTTCACATTTGTGGGTTTCTTTTCAGTACATTACTGCAAGCCCATAGGTGCACACAAAAACCTGACAGCAAAAAATTCTTACCATAGATATACTGATGTGATCTTCTGTCTGTAACTATATGTTATGAAAGAGATACCCGGTTGCAGTGAATAACTCTGATGTTAGCTCAGTATCTGACAGCAATGAAATTGTCGGCTTCCTATTACCAATTATAAATAGTCTGAAAATATAACTAATAGCATTGTAATTTTATTGTACATGCATAAAATCTATAGTCTGGCTACATTTTAAATTTATTGTCGCTGGCTTTCATGGCTGGAATCTCTGGGTTGCTGTAGGTTTTTCAGGCTGTATAGCTGTGTTTCTGGAACATGGCCATACAAAAACTTACAGCAACCCGTGTTTTTAATTCTTGATATCTTTCCAGCTGCCCCACTTTTAAATCCTTAAAATACAGTAAGAGCCTGGAGGGAAAGAAAAGCCTGATCCGGGCACTGAAAAGATCATAGTGTAGGTGCCACACTAGCTCTGAAGTATTCACAACAAATATTGTAGTGCTTGAAAACATATAGAAAAGGGGAACCAAATAGTCTAGGCTGAAACTCCTCCCATGTGAGAAGAAGTTAAAGCCTTTCCAGAATATTAGTTTTGAAAGAGGGGGAAAGAACAACTTGTATACCAAGTTGTGTGGAGATACTCTGGTAAATCAGTTATCACTGTTTACAGGTATTGACAGATGCATGCATGTACCTTACCCTTTTTAAAAAGGCCATCCAAATTAATGACTATGCAATTGAGTTCAAGCATCAATTATTTGTGTCAAAACAACATTTTTTTGTCTGTCCAAATTCTAATGTTCATTCATTTTACTTAATGAGTGAAAGAACAATCTTTTTCCACACCATAGAATTTTAGAAATCCTTATTTTTTCCTTCCACCCTACCCAGACTGGATCTGTACATTGTTTAAGCAGGAATGTTACTTTTTATGCTATTTTAATGCTCTTTTTTCATATTACTCCTTTTATGTTCTGGTTTTTTTTTTTTAAGGAAAATACAAGATAGTGTAATAAGTATGGCTTGACAAATTGCAAAGAATGACTTTTTAAAATACCAGTTGTAGTACCTCACTTCATAATATTTTAAGGAAACATTCTTTTTTATCAATAAAATAACTCTTAAATTACAGATAATAATGAAAATGTTTTACTGAGGTTATTAATTGTGCCAAGATGTATGATGATGTAACATAAATGTTGATTGGGAAGCATTAGCGAAAGGAAAGAACTGGGATTAAAGTTTTTTTTACTTTGGATGTGTGAAATGTTGTGAAGAATTTCAAGGTATCATCAAGCAAAACAGCCATTATTTTCAAAAGAAAGGGAGAGTGGAAACTATATTCTCTGTGCACTGATTGAATTAAAATATTGGAGAGAAGATTTGCCTTCTTCCTCAGTTACTCACTCCATTCTCCTAGGCCAACAATTGTTTCAGGGAGTTGTACTGAATGAAATAAAACAACATTATGTTGACCCCATACAAGTGTAGTATTCCCTACAAAGCCAACATAGATTGAGCGTTTGAAGGTTATTGGTGGGATTGCAGGTCTAGGACATGCATAGTATCTTATGTTGTTTCTTGATATTTCTGTGCACACAGATCTTAGAATGGAGGAGAGGGGGAAGAAAAAGAAGAAATGGAACTTTATTTCCCAAAGCCAAAATCCAGGTGGCTTGGAAATTAAAACACATAAAACAGTTCATGTGAAAACATTCAAAAGTTCAGCGTTCAAAGTGAATTAAAATATCATCAACAGTTAAAAACAAATAAAATTATTATTTAAAAAAAATAAAATGATTTTTTTTAAAATAGTAACAATACAACACCCTTTTAAAATCCTTGTTGAAATTTTTAAAAAATCTTAGACTCCCAGTAGTAGAAGGACAACAAGGCAGAGATCATTCTAGTCTCCCTATAAAGGAGTTGCAGTCCATAGGCAGTCACAGGAAGGGCATGTTATGTCCCCACCAGCTATACCTGAGAAGATGGTGAAGCTGAAAGAAGGGCCTCTTTTGAAAGTCTTAGACCCCAAGCATGCTTACTTGGAAAGATACAGACTATTGGTAGATTGCGTGGTTTAGGGTTGAGCAAACAGTAGTTGTGCTCAGAAACAGACAGACAGCTATTCAGTGGAGCTGTTGTAGCAAGGAAGGTTTAGGATCCTGTTAACCACTCATAAGACTCTTCAGAAAAACCCCGAATATATTAAAAATATTGTCACCCAAAGAGGATGTAATTAAGATTTATCACCAGGACCAGATCAGGCATCTCCACGAATGGATGCAGTTGGCACACTAGTTGTAAGTGTGCAGAAGCACTCCTGGCTGCTGCAGAAATCTGATCGGCCTTCCAGTTGACTAGAAGCACATCTCTCTTGTTTGGATTAAACTTCTGTTTGTTCACCGTCCATCAGTCTAGTTCTGGTTCTAGATACTGATCTAGAAGTGAAACAATTTCCTTGGAATTTGCTGAAAAGGAAGATTAGAGTTAAGTTTCAACAACTTATTAATGGCCCCGAACTCCAGACAACTATTGTGTTCCATATGGATGTTGAATAGGTGGGAGGCAAAGCATAGGTGAAGGGACTCCAAAGGCCAGCAACCAAGGAGTTGAATATTAGTCCACCAGTGCTGCTTTCTGGGCTTGCCTCACAAGGAAGAGATGATGCCACTGTAAAACAGTGCCTCTATGTCTGATTCAGGCAAGGTAACCCAGCATATTTATTTATTTATTTGTTTAGTTATATATTTATCGTATTTATATACTGCCCTTCTCAGCCTGAAGGCGACTCAAGGCAGTTTACAGTCGGCACAATTTGATGCCCCCATAACATAACATGGCTTAACTATGAAAGGTTTGGTAGCCTTAACTGACAACTGTCACTGAGAACTGGAAAGTTGTTGAGAAGTGCAGCAGAATGAACACATTTCACCTGTCCGGTTTCCAGTGACAGTTGTCGACCAAGGCTACCAAATCTTTCTTAATTTTATAATCAGACGTGAAACAAGAATGAAATCAATCAGGATAATCTGTTTTATCCAGGAACCTTTAGTACTGTGGGGCCACTACATGATCTGATAACCTTCCCAAAAACAGAATGTTAGGCACTTTCGAGTAATTATCTACTATAGAGCAATTCATGCAAGGCTTTTTAAACAGAGATTATACAACTGCCTTTGAGCATATTTGGACCCTGCCTTAACTATTCCCTTCAGCCATCTGGCCATGTTGCTCGTGTCACCTTTTAATGAATTTAGATGAGAGAGAGTCTAGTATACATGTAATGGTACTCATTTCTCCTAAGTTGCTATTTACGTTCTGAGGCTGTACAAAGTATGTGAGAGAAAGTACTTCCCTAGTAGTTCTGTGCCTAACTGGGACAGCAACTTTTGAGTGAAGTTAAATCAGATCACAATCTTCACCTGCCTTCTATTTTCCCCCTATTTAACATTCTGTCTGTGTTCTACCTTTTCACTTTAGGCATGGAATGTCCTGGCCCTTGATGGCAGCAACTGGCAACGCATTGACCTGTTTGATTTCCAGAGAGACATTGAGGTATAATTAAGTGGTGTGCAATTTTTTCTTTCTAGTTAAACAGTAATTACAACAGTGCATAAGATTAGTAACAAACTATGTAATCTCCTGTAGCTTACCCCCAGAGACAGAAATTTTTAATTTTTAGTTCCCAGCTCTAAGGAACCATTTAAGCTCTAAGAGTGGTTAAGAAACTGAAAGTATACAGAATTTTCTCTCTCTCGTTTTCTTCTTTTTGCATGTATTTTATTTTGTGTGCACAAATATATTTAACCTTGGAAACATGTTTTGCAAGCGCATGCAAAACATTTAAATGTTTTAAATGTTTTTATGATATTGTTGGCATTGAATTGTTGCCTTGTGAACCGCCTCAAATCGGCTGAGAGAGGTGGTATAAAAATGTAGCAAATAAATAAATAAAATAATAAAATGTGCATGTGAGTTGCTGTTGTTCATTTGTTCTTTAATTTCCGACTATTCGTGACCTTATGGACCAGCTCACGCCAGAGCTCCCTGTCAACCGTCACCACCCCCAGCTCCTTCAAGGTCAATCCAGTCATTTCCATCCCATCCATCCATCTTGCCCTTGGTTGGCCCCTCTTCCCTTTTCCTTCCATTTTCCCCAGCATAATTGTCTTCTCTATGCTTTCCTTTCTTCTCACAATGTGGCCAGATAACAGATCTGGACAGCTTGTTAATCTATCTCGAATCTTGCAAGAATATTTCACCATTAACAAATGCTCTGCCACCGGAGGCAGGATGAGTAAATCTACTTCAGGTTGTAAGATCTGGAATAACCAGTTTAGGGAACAAATTTACACTTTCTTTTACATTTTACCACCTAGTTTAGATTGAATCGGTTTTTTGAACTATGTCCATTGCCACATGGACAAACCTCAGGGGCAAGGAATTCTCTGGCAAAGCTGCCTGGTAGTTTGGAAAGCACTAAGCAGTATCTCTGGACATGGCAGGACATATTTGATATTTCTGGTCTAATTAGTTGATTTTCCTATCTTAACATTTAGATCAGGGGTCCTCAAACTTTTTAAACAGAGGGCCAGGTCACAGCCCCTCAAACTGTTGGAAGGCCGAATTATAATTTGAAAAAAGCATGAATGAATTCCTATGCACACTGCACATATCTTATTTGTAGTGCAAAACAAAACAAAAAACCACAAAACAATACAATAATTAAAATGAAAAACAATTTTAACAAATATAAATTTATTAGTATTTCAATAGGAAGTGTGGGCATGCTTTTGGCTGATGAGATAGGATTGTTGTTATTGTTGTGTGCTTTGAAATAATTTCAGACTTAGGTTGATCCTGAGTGAGGGCCACGTAAATGACCTTGGAGGGCCATATTCGGCCCTTGGGCCTTAGTTTAAGGACCCCTGATTTAGATCCACACCATCATATATGGACCATATCACGTCAGACAAAGGCCCAAAAATTCAAGCATCCGCTTTTAATTATGGATATCACTGTTATATGTATATCATGATTTCTCAGACTGTAAAATCGACAACTAAATCCAGATTTGTGTGAATAAAGCCACCCGAGTCTCCCAGATGCAGTTGTCTAGTCCCAGAATGCATAACTAGCTGATCTATGTTGGGAATAGTTCTGTTGCTTGGTTTATTACAAAATAGTTGTCTGTGGATTCTGTTTATCACACACTACTCAGAAAGAATATCCTACAGCAAATGACCTTGAAGGTGGAACCGAATGACAAAAGTCTAATTATGGGTTGTGCCTGTACTAGAAGCATTCAGATGACAAGTGTAACACAAGAAAAAGATTCTAGCAGCACAGAAGATTAAGGAGGGGATGGGGATTTAACCAAAGAAACAAGAAATTTGTTTGCTACAATTTGGAAGATTCCTTCAATTATCTTCCTGGTCTTCCTGCAGGGACGCGTAGTGGAGAATATTTCTAAAAGATGTGGGGGTTTCTTACGAAAGCTCAGCCTACGTGGATGCCTAGGTGTAGGAGACAACGCATTAAGGTAGTACTCAAGTTCTTTGACATTGTAAAAAACTAATTGTTTTTATATCCAGGTTAGAATCTGTAACAAAAATGTCTGAGAAAGTTAAGCACTTTAGTTCTAATGAGGTAATAACATCCTGCAAATAATGCACTTTTGTCTTACCATAATTCTCTCTAATACAAAATTTGAGTAGTCCCACACCTTTCTGATCAGAAGCAATGTGTGCCAGTATGTGTTAGCTAAAAATTGGGAGATGGGGATAAATGCACATAAAAGCTCCACCTGCAGTGTCCCCATATATCTTCCTACCTGTTAGAAATCTCTGCTGATTCAGTACAAAGATCTGAGAGGGGTCTGTAAATACATTTAACTAATCAAGCTTACCAATCTTCCAGTTACCCTTGTAAGGTAACTGAATATGATTTTTATAATTTTATAAGTTTATTCAGCCCCATGAGATCGGCTAGGCCCAGGGATTCCCAGTAAGCTTCATGTTGAGTGGGGATTTGAAGCAGCCCAAATCTTATAATTATGCAATGTGTTTTCTCCTTGGGTTGAACCTTATTTGGGAAACATTACAGATGAGTGTGAAAGTTCCACAAAGGAAATGGTTGCATTTTGGACTTTGTTTATATAGTCATAGCTTATGAAAATTCTACTTTTGTGGCTTTGACTCCCAGAATACCTCATGCAATGGTCTGGAACCATCTGTCCGGTGTATTCTGTAAAACTGTAAATTGTTAAAGCTTTGCATATAGCCATAGCCTACAATTGCGCACACTGTGGGAAGTACTTGAGTATATATATGGAACACTGTCTACTGCAGCTGACATTGACTTACCATGTTTACCTTAATCTCTGGATCATCGTCTATATGATAAAAATATTTTCAAATGTTTTGTTCTTTGTATTTTGTTTCAAAGCTTCATATTCTCCCTTAATATCCTCAAAATATTATTTTTAAAAACCTGCAAAATATTATGCTTGGTTTTTATTGCATTTCAGTAGCAGGAAACCTTTTAAGAGTTAGATGTCAGTAATGTAAAATGTATGCTCTTAGAAGCCTGAAAAAGTGTGCTTTTTATCCCATTAAAGGACGTTTGCACAGAACTGCAAAAATATTGAAGTTTTGAATCTGAATGGCTGCACCAAGATTACAGATGCGTAAGTGACTTCTATTTTGGAACTCTCACCAGGGTTGCATTTGTACAAAAGTAAAAAAAAATGTTAATAATTTTACTGCATGTACACATACATGTCAAACATACACCACAAATTCTTTCCAGTCTCAGATATATCAGCCTAAATTTAAAGGCCTTTCCTGCCCATCTATTTTTTCCTGCTCACCCCCTTCCCTCTCACTATCTCCTCTCCTCACTAGGACAGGATCCCATTCCCTGTCATCCCACCACATCAGCCTGAAAAGAAAGTAGTGGTGGGAAGCTAAAGGAGTGAGTGGTGGATCAGTGAAGAAGGGCTTTAAAGAAAGGGATGGAGAGAGGAAGGAAGCGATTTAAAAACTGAATGTTGCTTTGATGGGATTGTAGGGAGGGAGCAATGAAAGAAAGGATCTCCAACCTAGATGTTGCTTGAATGGGAAGGTGGAGCAATGGAGAAAAAAACTGAACTTTAAAGTGATATAGCATCTTCATGGTAGCATAATTTAATTGTAGAAGAAATTGGATTGGACAAATTCCTGTCCATGTCAATATATTGATGATATAAATAATATAGCTTTGGACAGTGCCATATCAATTCTTGTTCTATAAATCCTTGCATAAAAATTACCCACTTTTCCTTAGACATGCATATTTTCCCTGTTTCAGAGCCTTCCATTTTTTCCAGGGGTGAGGATGTAATGAATGCTTTATTTATATCATTTAAAAATAAACACCAGTAATCAAAAGCACATAGCACTATAGTCAAAAACACATTTTCTTTCAACTCTTAATGTTTGCTGTGTTCCACATTTTAAACCATCCTGTGTGCGTGATACAAAGTTTTTTAAATAGCCAGTACATCTGATCCCTTAAATAGTGATCCCTTAAATAGAGTAGGGACCAAATGCCATAGCAACACAAAGGGTAACTGTCCTGCTTCAAATACAAAATGCAACAGTGGGTCGAGATGACACAATCTCTTGTTAAAATCTTACTCATCTTCTCCCACTTCTACTTTCTTCATTTTGCCATAAAATAGCTAGCCTACTGTTAATAGCATATCAAGGCATAGGTCAATCTTACACTGTCTGAGTATATCTTGTATTGGTCATTGCAGAAGTCAGTATTCCCTTCCTCTTTCAGCAGTGCTCAACCCCCCCCCCCCCCTTTATTATTGAGCTGCTGCATTCTCCTTCCCCAAAAAAGTGTGTCCATGTAAACCAGTGGTTCTCAACCTGGGGTCCCCAGATGTTTTTGGCCTACAACTCCCAGAAATCCCAACCAGTTTACCAGCTGTTAGGGTTTCTGGGAGTTGAAGGCCAAAAACATCTGGGGACCCCAGGTTGAGAACCACTGATATAAACCAATGGTTCCCGACCCCAGATGGGGACGTGAGGGGTTTTTTGTCAAGTCACTGGGCAGGGGTGAGCTATGAAAACTTGAAAAAGAGATTTGTTTGCAAAAATGTGTCACAATCTTTTGTTTGTCAGATTATGAGGTCCAGGTTCAGGCACAGTTCAGTGACTGGCTCTACAAAATGCCAGTGCTGCTCAGCTTGTGATTGGTAGATTCTTAACGATACATGCACACTGAGTGCCTAGCCTTGTTTCTTGCGGGTGGCAATGTTTTTTCTTTAATACCCTTGAATTCTTCAAAATATAACAAATCATATGTCGACATGAATCCAATTATCCTCCTTCCAGGATTATATCCCTTCTTTGCTCAGCCAAGCAACCAGCCAAAGCAATCAACCACAAGACAAGTAGTGCTGTTAGTTCCAGACAACATCATTGTCACTATAGCAGCACCAAGGGCTCTAATTTTTAATGAATCAGGTTCACAGGTAGCAGGGTTGCTGGTCACTTTGCCTCTATAAAATGGGGTTGCAACTCAAAAAAGGTTGGAAATCACTGGTGTAGACAGATTCAAAATTATTAGGTTTTTGTGATCTCCCTCCACTCTTCACCTGCCAAAAATGAGGCAAAAGGGGGAATGCACCAGCTCTGAAATAAGTCTGCAGGCTGGTGAATTGCCAGCTATAACATAGTTCCATTTGTGTTATGTGTAGTAGTCATACTGAACTTTGGCCAATATGTTTTAAGGGAGGAAAGACAGAATAGTGGAATAGTTGCAGAAAAACTTCTGATGAGTAATGCTAGGAACTGTGAATTCGGAATTGCTATTCTGTTTTTTAAATCAGCAAAGAAACCTGAATGTGTTCTGTTTTCTTGTAGTACATGTACTAGCCTTAGCAAGTTTTGCTCCAAACTCCGGCATCTTGATCTAGCTTCCTGCACCTCAATAACCAACCTGTCCCTCAAAGCACTGAGGTGAGTGCTAATTTTCATAATGATCTCCTTAAGCTAGGACTGCTAACTTTTTAGGTAACAGTGAGTCTCGCCAGTTAAAAAAATGTTGCATTCCTTTATGACATACATTCTCCCTTCATTTTAGCTCATGTTTTTCTCTTAAGGACACTGGATGGCTTTCCATGTATCCTTGAGTGCTTTCTGATCCCAGTGACCAATCCTATTTGGTGAGAAAGAGGGGCCTTGCTCTTGGACTTGCTTCTGGCAGGATCAGCAGTCCTTGTAGTGAGAATGCCACAGGAGGTTCTCACTCATCTTAATCTTTCCTTGGAATCGATTCAGAAGGCAGACATTTCTTGTCATATATCTGTGGTTTTCATCTCTGCTTTCTAGCATTGCTTAGGCAACTTTAAAAAAGTAGCCAGTGCTCGAATTTACAAATATGTTATTCCCTTTCTCCCATTGTGTAACTTGATTAAGCTGCACACCCAATCTAGTGGTTTAAACTGTAAATTGGCGATGTCCTTGAGGTTGTGTGCATTGATAGGAATGTTCATGGGGCTCATAGCCTGGTATAACAAATGGCGAACAGAGAATAAAGTGCTCCTTTCATTGAAGCAAGTGCTAACATCTCTGTCTCTTTCCCCCCCCCTCCCGCCCCCTTCTCTGTATCCTTTCTGCCTCTCAAGTGAGGGCTGTCCTCTACTAGAACAGCTCAATATCTCCTGGTGTGACCAAGTGACAAAGGATGGCATCCAGGCTTTAGTGAGAGGCTGCGGTGGACTCAAAGCTCTGTTTCTTAAGGGCTGTACACAGGTATGAACAGTGAAGACAGAACAGTTATAGGAAGGGGTGCTTGAACTATGTTTGTTTAACTTAGAGAAAAGGCAAAATGACTTTGGAAGAAAGAGGTAGAACAATTTCATTTATTTGGATTTGTCATCTCACCCTTTCCAAAACAATGTCAGTGGTGAATAACTGTTCTGATTCATACTATACCAGCTATTCTGAAGGTAGAAAAGAGGAAGAGAGAGATGCATATTCGGGGTTTTTGAATAAAGGAGCAGTGGGATACAAGCATGTCCTTTCTTGTAACCCTTGGCCATACAACAGTTGTGATTCATGACTTGTACAATTGTGATATATCACTTTAAGGAGTTTTTGACTACTCCAGCATAAGATACCTATTTTATTTCAATGTCAACGTCAAATTTGTCTGTTTCTATATTGCAATGAATTAATGTATAGGTTGCGGCAAACGGAGCTTAGTTTCACTTCCAGTAGATGTTTGCCCCCGGTGGCACAGCGGGTTAAGCTGCTGAGCTGCTGAATTTGTTGACAGAAAGATAGGCGGTTCAAATCCGGGGAGTGGGATGAGCTCCTGCTGTTAGCCCCACCTTTTGCCAAACTAGTAGTTCGAAAACATGCAAATGTGAGTAGATCAATAGTTACTCCTCCTGCAGGAAGGTAATGGCACTCCATGCAGTCATGCCAGCCACATGACTTTGGAGAGGTCTATAGACAATGCCAGCTCTTCGTCTTAGAAATGGATATGAGCACCACCCCCCAGAGTCGGACACAACTAGACTTAATGTCAGGGGAAAACTTTTACCTTTACTTATGTATATGTTGCATTTCTAAAATATTCTTGGCCTTCCTACCAAGATTTTTGCTAGATACAAAATTCTGTCATAAAATCATAATCTTTAAAAATAAGAACACCAGTAGTCGAGAACTCATGAACTCTCTGTAGAGTGCTTTATGGCTTAGACCACATCTTTTCTGTGGGTGAACTGGGTTCAAGTAGCAATGCCATAGCTTTATGTATGCTAGAAATAACATTAACTCTTATGATTTTGTTGTGCTGTCTACCATATGCAGTGGAAGTTGACAGTAGAATCACACTGAATATCTAGAAATGCATAAAGAGAAGGGTTTTCAGTCATCTTTAGGGCAGCAGCAGAGGCAACCACAAATACGATAATCTGTTAATGATCAAGTGTGAAGGCACAGCTATAGATCACCTTTGTTGGATTGGCATGTTAGTCTTTAGCAGGAGAAGTATGTAAAGGCCTATTTAAACTTGCCCAGGACAAGTTTAAATGGGCTTTGTAAGGCAATCAACAATAGTTAAGAGATCTAGCAACTTGTAAATTTTATTTTTGAAGCAGATATCTTTGTAAAATAACCTTTTATTGCAGTATAGGGAGGCAGTCTTTATGTGGGGTCTTGAAGAGTACTAGTGTTTTGTTTTTAGTTTTGAAAGCACACAATAATAATATTTAAGCAAAACCAGTACGTAGTCATGCTAGGCTTCACACTGAAACTTACATTTCTGAAATTAGTCTTTACTATGAGGTTTATTTAAAATTTCTTAATGAGATCAATTTTGAGAAGAAATTCTGGTACTAAGTAGCCTGTTGTTTATCGTCTTGGGAGAATGGGATTGTGAGAGAACCTAGAAACCATGTGATCCCTCCCCACCCCAAGTTCTTCTTTTCATTATGAGTGGTTTATGCTAAATATTCCTTTTGTCCTAGCTATCTTTGAAGGCACAATAGCTTCATTAGATCCTATGGGACATTGCTAATCCTGGTAAAATAAACCTGCTCTTTATTTTTACAGTAACAAAATCAGAAACTCTGAGAATAAAATGACTTTTTTTTCCTTTCTCCCTCTTCTTCCTTTTGTTCTAGCTGGAAGACGAAGCCCTTAAATATATTGGAGCACACTGTCCTGAACTGGTAACTTTAAATTTGCAAACCTGCTTGGTAAGCAATGGCCCACGTGAATCCAAACATTTCTGTTTTTCTTAACACGTAGAATCTGTTATGTAAACTAAATTATGAAGCAGAAGACCAAAAGCCTAAGAAAATATTCTCCTTTCACCTTCAGCCCTTTCCATGTTGGCTTGCAGGAGTTACTTGGTTTGCCATATATCTTGCTTAGTAGTACAAGAATGTGCACGGTATGGTGGATGGGAATACGTATCTTCCTGTGATTATTTTAAAAAACTTTGTTGAGGGGGTGACTGGCTACAGGCTGTTGCTTTACTTCTCTGTGATTATTTTTATTCTTCACACTTTACTTCCAGGAATGTTAGTATCATAGAGTTGGAAGAGACCACAAGGGCCAACCAGTCTAACCCCCTGCCATACAGGAAAATACTATGAAGGCACTCCCAACAATTGGCCATCCAGCCTCTGCTTAAAAGTCTTCAGAGAAGGAGACTCCGCCACAACATGCCATTCCTTTGTTCTTTTTTCTGCAATGAGATTGGGAACTGGCATGATATCTCAAAGACTTCTTAAATCAAGTATTGCAGCAAGGTCCATCACAAGGACCACCCTAACCCCAAAACAAAAATGTTAAGCTTTTTAGTTTATTCAGAATACCTCCATACCTTCAGAAGTGCATGAAGAGAATTTTTACTTTTGTGGGAAGGCATTGAACTTCCCACTTCCAGTCACTTCCTGTTTGAGATGGAAAGGTTCTTGTCCTATGACTGCTAGTGAAATACTTTTGTCATAGTAGAGCATAACCTTAAACAATGGTCAGAAAAATAAGCACATTGAACAGTGACAGAGGCAAATTTGCGTCAGTGAGCTGATTTCTATATACCTCCCACTAGAGTTCACCTTGAAGTTAAACTTGGATTGAACAAAGCCTTTTCATCACCATATATGAGTTAATCCACTCAACTATCCACTCTTATCACTTTTATTTTCTGTTAAGCAGCTGTTGGAATCTTTTAAATTTTCATATTCCCATTTCATATTGTATAGCAATCTACAGCCCGTGCATCTAATGAAGGCCTGTGTTTTTGTGTATGTGTCTGCATACACAGACTATTGTGAATCTTTAGATTATACTCTGTATATTTTAGGAAGTGGACTATTGTCCATGAAAGCTCATGCTGTAATAAATATAGTCTTCAATGTTCTTGTTTTTTCAATTGCAGTATGCTAAGATAATACTTTGGAAATTGCGATAGTATAAACAATACATTATAAATCCCCTCCTTTGTATGCTTAGAGATAATTGGTAAAGCAGAGGTTGGATTAGATTATATCAAAGTGTTGTCTTATTCAAGATGTAAATAGACTTCCCTTGTGGTTACTGATCTTATATGTTCACCTTTATTTAATGTAATTGCTTAATTCTGGAGATGCATTTAAAAGAGAGTATTATGAAGCAACCCTGTATAAGTACTGATATATAATAATGATGTTTAAAATTACACAAAAAATATTTCCCTTTCCACCGGGCTTCTGCAAATTTCCTCCACCCATGCACACATATATTTAAAATTAAGAATTTATTGTTTCAACCACATACTGACTTTTTAACGTTGATCCTGTCTACTCACTTTCACCGTTATTCTAAATATATCAGTAACAAAAACTTATCCAGCGCAAATGCCCACTTCCATTGAAATGCCAGTCATCAGATTTTTTACTTTCCCAATCAACATTTTTGCCTTAGTTTATGTATTTCATGTGTTGGAAGACAGAAGTATTTTGCATCAAGAATATTGTGCTGAATCTGCCCCATATCCATTATGCTCTCCTAACCTGCCAAAACTCTATCCCTAGTTTGTTAAATGCAACTAACTTACTTAGTATTTTTAAATTGTAAATTCACTTATCTTTCCTTGCCCTACTGGATGTCATTTTGATACTTTGAAGGAGTTTCTCAAGTAATTTCACAATTTCATTTTATTCAACTACAATCCCCAGAATCCCCCAGACACTATGGAAAATTCTAGAAGCTGCCATTCACAAAGGAATTCTCCAAGCTGTGATATTTATTATAGCAAATCCATCTGGGGACTGGGTTTATCCTGGCCTTTCAAAGTTTGTTTGCTTAGAGTGGAAAACATTCTTTCTGTTGTTTGGAATGCTTAGTTGATCTTTCCAAATTTAAGGTTTGCACATGTTAAAAAAACAGTGTATTTCTGTATAAAAAAAGCTGGAAGAGGAAGCACATTTTTATCCTGGGAGAAAATATCCTATACCATTTGTGGTGATGCCAAAAATGGATACTTTAGCCCAAAAAAGGAGCTGGTTTTGGGAGGACGTCTGTGGCTGGCATCCTGCTTTTAGACATGGTGGTTTCCAATTAATCATTCATATAGTGTTTCACTGTCACAGTGGGTTTGGAATGTTTGGCCAAATACTTTTTAGCATGCAGTTTTAGGATTGGCAGGCATGTTTTGTCCAAAAGCACCACAATAAACCGTGTTTATTCCTACTGACAACGTTAACCCTTCTTTTGTTTTGTAGCAAATTACAGATGATGGCCTCATTACAATATGTAGAGGATGCCACAAGTTACAATCTCTGTGTGCCTCTGGCTGTTCCAACATCACTGATGCCATCTTGAATGCCTTAGGGCAAAACTGCCCAAGGCTTAGGTAAGTCAGCTTTACTCTGCAGGGCTGCATGTGATGCACTCTGGATGGAAATCAATAATGAGAAACATTCTTAGCTCATGGAAGGCTATCACCATATTATACTGAATGAGCAGAGCCAAAAAAGAGAACATGGTGGAGTAAATGGAGCATGTGGCCAGCAAACTGTTCTTGCAAACCCTCCCCAATCATGTTCTCCAAATCACTAGTAGAAATATAGTTAACATTTGCTACATGGAACCATATTTTTAAGTTCACTTGAACCCTTTTTTCCAGAAGAAAATAGGGAAAAGCTGTTGGTCGGGGGAAAAGTGAGCAGATTACTAGAATTCCCTAAAAGGCATCCAGATTGCCTGTAAGATCTCTCATGCTCTATTAATCATTTGGAGCAGACATTTTGAAAAGCCCACCATTTTTTTCATGCGAGGGTACCAACAGAAGGATAGTGAGCTCCATAATCCTGCCCCCCCCCCCAAATCTCTTAATAGTTGCCCATTCCTTATATAGATGAAAGGATGAGTAGATGGATTGACATTCACTTGTTCATTCAGACATGTAATCTGAACCCATAAATTTGAGAGAAAAAAGCAGTGTTAACAGCACAGCAATATGATTATATCAAATCAAACTAACTACCAATAGAATAGTAAGCAGGATGCTTTCTAACGCTATATCCATAGGTCATGACCAACTATGCACATTATTTCAGGGTGACAAAAGGGGAATTGATATAGAGCCATTGAAGCCCGTCAAAATATGAAAGGTGTATTTTTCTGTAAGAGAGATTGCAAAAGAAGGGTTTGAGGTGCAAATTTGCTTCTCAAATAGAAGTCAATCTGCTGGAGATTGTACTTGCCTATTAAGAGCTTTGCACTGAAAAGTATAATGATAATCTTAAAATACAAACAAATGTGGGCTCTTTGTTTATTCCTTCTGTGTGCACGCAGTAGAATTGTTACCCATGATGTCCATGACACAGCACAGGTATAAAGTCGTCATGGTCCTGCTTTGATCCTCAACTTACTTTGAAGGATGTGGGCCAAGGACTGAGGTTTCAGAAATGGGCCCAGCACAGCAAAGGTGCTTAATTTCTGTTATTTTTATGTGTGCACACAGAATATTGGAAGTGGCTCGGTGTTCCCAACTCACAGATGTGGGCTTTACCACTCTGGCTCGGGTAAGCAACCTGCCTATTCTGTTATTTGCTTACTAGTTATCCTCCCATAGGATCAGACCTTGAAAGTAACAAGTTATACAAATGGCACAATTACCTAATGAATTATTTCTTTTCTTGTTTTTGTAATGAGGTCACAATGAAGCTACATTTCTAAAGTAATACTGAAAGTGAAACGATATTACTTCATTGTGAGAAGTAATGTTTACAAGATGGATTTTTGGTGTTTTTAGTAGAACTTTACAAGTTTTCCTTCATTGTCCTACAGATTCTAAAGTGTTTTTTCTCACAAAAGTAATGGGAAAGTAAAATGTATAAAGGTGAATAACTTTACATATTAACTTTTATTTTCTGCAGTGTAAATGATAACAGTTTACTGGGGTGGTGGTCGTGGGAGGTGTTGTGGTGAATTACATAATGAATCAGTATTTTAAAGTATCTTTCCAAGCTCTCACATGGACCCATTTCTAATAAACCTAGTTTGGTGATATTGTATTGGCTATCTGGGCCAATACACATATAAGCGTGTATCTTTTCCTGCTGTGCTGCCTTTCAGGATCATAATGCTTTTACTCAGAAGGCATAGATAGAGCCAGGAAATTAAAGCCAGATAACAAGCATGTGATCTCATATATTTATACAGAGGGAGCCAAATGACCTTTAAGTCTCAATATCTGTAAATCAGCTACAGCCTGGGAAATAGAAAAGAGAGCAAAGCTCACTAAGACCAGCTTAGGCATAGTCAACCTTGTTCAAATATAAAACTTGATTTGAGTATCTTACTTAAAGAAATAAAGGGGGGAAAGTATGGAGTGTTTTGTTTTCATTGTTCAGCTCCCTGCTGGTTATTCCACTAGACATTTTGCTTTCTTCTTGATATTAAAAGTGAGATGGAGAAAACTGGCTAGAGTTGAGAAGAGGAAGATGCATGGGCTCAATTCTCCTTTCCTGCATATTTCTCAATGTTTAACTGAAGTAGCCTGCTTTTTATAATTGAATGGGGTGGGCTTGTGAAAAGAATGGCAGAGTTACTTACTATCATGAAACATTAGAACAGCAGGGATCTTGCAAAGGAGTGTTTGAAAGCCAGGTTGTGGTTTGACCAGCAATGGAAATTGAGAGACTCTTGATGCCTACATTCCTGCTTCTCTCTTGAAAGTAATCCTTTTGACAGAAATGGAGTTAGTCTGGAATAATAATAATAATAATAATTTTATTGTTGTTATTATTTTATTTCTCAACTGCCCTCTTGCCCCAGAAGGACTCAGGGCGGTTTACATATAAAAAGGCAAACATTCAATGCCTCAAAATGGGTACAAACACATCAAAATAATACAAAAAGGGAGTGTAACAACAGAAAACTTAAACAAAGCCATTAATTATCACAATAAAATAAAAACAAGTAGATCATCTTATCTTGCATTGAAAACAGTGTTAATTGACCCAGAACAGTCCATTTGCAAAAGTAAATACCATATATTTTCTTTACTTACAATACAAATTGGGATTTCTTTGAAAGCAAAATTGTAAGAGGGAGGCAATTGAGATACACTCAGCTTCACCTTTACTAGATACATTTCATCGGGTGCTCCATGAAAAAAGTACTTCCCTGTTTGTAGTTCTTCTTGCTGTCCTGGCTGAAATTGTGAAAAGTGCGTTGATTTTTAAAGTAAAAGTTGACTTCAGTTCTTAAGCTTATCCACGGGAGTGGTACCAGTGAATTAAGTGTAAAAAATCTTTGGTTCTCTTACCTTGTCTTAAGAATGGGAAGGTGACCAATATATACATTTAAAAGACCAAGTCTATGCTTAGTTTTAGTGTGACTATTTTTGTTTCTTTTAATCCTCTCTAGAATTGTCATGAGCTAGAAAAAATGGACCTGGAGGAGTGTGTTCAGGTAGTTGCAAAATCATTTTCATTTTCTTGTTTCAATTGTTTATTCTAATGTGGGTTGGAGAGTTGAGCATGGAGTTCTCCAGTATGGCCTAATTTGTAAAGGAAAACCATCTGCTTATGTGTACATTTGCTCATTACAACAATTACTGAATCAGGAAGCGTGTCTTCATCATGCAGTGCTAGAAAAAGGAAGACTTGAGTCTCTCCCTTGTGTGGTGTAATTTCTATAAGAAATCCACAGAGAGATCTTCGCCACTGGCAGAAATAGCTGCTTATAATTACAGCTGTTGTAAGATAAAAATGAACAATCTCTCTGATTTTTACATAATGTTTTCAAATGGGGCTGGATGCTTCTTTGAATGAGTATTAACTGCTACATCTCAGCTGCTTCTTCTCACTAATATTTTTAAAAGTATGATGTGACATACACAGAAAGTTCCCCCCTTCTCCACTTAACGGGCTGCCTCAGCCAAGAAAGGAGGAAGTTTGACTGCAGTGTTCTCTTGTCATGGTTCCCTTCTTTCCTACACCTCAGCAAGGGAGAAACAGTATAGAACCACTGTATAGACACCAGCCATACATTTTCTGCAACAATAGTCCTGAGGAATTCGAAAGTCTAGATTAACGTTTCCCAAACTATATATAAATCCTTCTCATGGCAACCACCCTAGAAAAGTCTGCTTCAAAATGTAGTAGAAACAAAAATTGTTGGTATTTGGACTCTCGAGTAGAGTTTATAAAAACCTAGCTTCCAGGTGTTATGACTTCAGTTCCCAGAAGCCCTGGTCATTGGCCAAGGCAGCCGCAGAATTGGGGAGTTGCAAAACACCTGGAGGGCTAGAGCTTGGGAATCACTGCTCATGGTGAAAGCCTCTAAAATAGGATAAAGTGATGTTTTTAGAAAGCCCATTGTAAGTAAAATATTTTAAGAAAGCCTATTGTAAGTACAATATTTTCAAAATGTCGCTTTTGTTTCTTTCAGATAACAGACAGCACATTAATCCAGCTCTCCATACACTGTCCACGGCTCCAAGTATTGGTGAGTCTGGGAATTCCCATCTCTGTGAAAGTACTGGGAATTCTTCACTTCAGTGTAGTATTTTGGGATAGAACTCAAAGAGACTGAGATATCAACTTGCTACAATCTCAGTGAATAGAGGAAGCTATGTGATATGCCTTAGTAAGCATTCTATCATCCATTCAAGTCATGACTTTAAAGGAAGCCATTAAAAGAATACCACATTTGGCAGCTTTTAGTGCATATTATCTTCTGAATCAGACATTTCTCTGATTTCAAGCCCTATCCATGAACTCACTAGGTGACCCTGAGGAAGCCTAAACCACAGTCTCTTGGCTTTAGTCCCTCAGTCTGTAGTTTAGAGATAACATTTTTTTCTCATTATCATTGTTTGGATTTCTTGGATTATTTGTGTGAGGTTCCTTGAGCATTATATATAAAATACTATTTCAGTGCTAAAAATTCATAATATAGTCCAAATCAGATAGGAATGTCATATAAGTGAGGGAAAGAGTAACAAGGAGGGGAGGGTTTGGGAAAAAAAAAACACGGAATGAGAAACACTGCCATGCATTGGAAAAACAACAAGCTCAAAGAAGGCTGTGAAGAAGACTGATAAAGGGAAATGGTTCGAACAGTATGCAAAAACGAACCCATGATGAGGACTGTGATCATGAGGATAACAGCCATGTATTTCCAACCAGAGCCTTGCCAATGTCATATAAGTGAGGGAAAGTGTAATGAGGGGGGATTTGAAAAAAAAAAACACGGAATGAGAAACACTGCCATGCATTGGAAAAACAGCAAGCTCAAAGAAGGCTGTGAAGAAGATTGATAAAAGGAAATGGTTAGAACAGTATGCAAAAATGAACCCATGATGAGGAGGATAACAGCCATGTATTTCCAACCAGAGCCTTGCCAATATTTCATATTTAACTGAAGATTTTCTGTAGAATCTTCATACAGATCATTTTGTTCTGTAATATAACTTTTTTAAAATGCCACTTGTGACTTCCTCTTCTGTTTCATTTTCTTGCCATTGTGGCGGCAGAGTTTATCACACTGTGAGCTCATCACTGATGATGGTATTCGCCATCTGGGCAATGGCGCCTGTGCTCACGATCGCCTGGAGGTTATCGAGCTGGACAACTGCCCTTTGATTACAGACGCTTCCTTGGAACACCTCAAAAGCTGCCATAGTCTGGAAAGGATAGAGTTGTATGACTGTCAACAGATAACACGGGCTGGAATCAAGAGACTCAGGGTAAAAAAAAAAGAATTTATTTATTTAAGTTGACTCAAGCACATGCTATAGTTCCTTTGTTTGATTGATTTGTCCCAAACTGCCACAAGGCACATTCATTCCAAATGATGCTTTAAACCTGGTCTTCAAACAAAGGCAAAGAACAAATAATCATAGAATCATACAGTTGGAGGAGACTGCACAGGCCATAATGTCCAATACATACAGGAAGAGCACAATTAAAGCATCCCGACAGATGTCCTCTTTTTAAAACATCCATGCAGCATAGTATGTCATATCTTTGGAGGAGCTTATGTATCCTCCAAACTTTCAGAATAGTCACATGGTCAACTAACAAGGAATTGTAGAAGATGGTAAAAGTTAAGTTGATTTTTTTTCTCTTCTCTCTCTCAAGCATTAGTGTAGCTCTTAGTCAGCAAATCAGTTCCTGCAGTTTCCATCTACACTAGGAGCAGATAAAGGTTTTGTTTTATTTTTCTTTGCGGGGCTTGAAGGCAATAGTTTGAATTCCCAATTCAAGATCAGGCTACCTCAAACTGTGCTGCATAATAACAAGTATAATTCATAGCTATATATTGCTCCCCCCCCCCCCAATCCTTTTTGTCCTTGTCAAGTTACTGTAAAGGTTGTAGCTTAGCTTAAATTCTGTTTCTAGCCTTGGCCATAAAAAATCTAACCACTTCAACCCTTCAACCTCTGAATCTATTGTAGCCCACTGGGTTACGGTGAAACACCCCAGCCACTAACACAAGAAATTTATAGTCTACAGAATAATCCCCTAACTGTAATCTAAAATTTACAGTTAGTTGTCCAAGTGACACTGCCATGTCTGACAATAAAATTGCATGCTTTTCTCAAGGTGCATTTCTCCCCACATTATTATCCTTCCAATTCCCATAGGTTGAAGTTTTAGTACCTTGGATAGATCTTTGCCTAAATTTCCAAATATATTCTGACTGGCTTGATCTGCACAAACTATTTAGGTTGCAAAATCTTTTATTAATCTATTATTAATCTTATATTAAAAAACTGAATACTTATTTCTAGTGCAGGGGAGTGCAGAATAGGCTCTGTTTCTTATTCTAATGGAATGAGAAGAAGCCGATCAAAATTCAGTCCCCTGATTCATTCAGTAATATAGTGAGAAGTTCGTAGCATCTATGATAATCCAGCCTTGTGAATAATACACTCTGGATGCTATTATAGGGTAAAGAATAGAACTTATATTTTATGGTTTCAATAAATCCGTATTGGAATATGAAAGTTTTTTAAAAATTTGTCTACACATTAGTATAAGATCTCTTAGAAGGTCGAAAACCATTATAATGCTGGATTATCATGTATGTGCCTTCCATAGACAAAGAAAAAAAAAGCTTCCTGGAAAGGGGAGAAAGTGACCTCTGCAGGCAGAAGGGAAACAAAAGAAACCTTGAGTACATAGATCAGAGAAAGAAACTATGAGGTGAAACAAAAGGGCTGGTATTCTCTCTAGAGTCCGTCCCCTCTCTAGTGAGAAAAACTCTCACTTTGCAAACATTGATGCCTCTTTGCTCCCAACAATGACAAGCTCAGAAAGAACCTCAGTTCTTCATTTGCTGCCTTCTAATGAAGCCAAAACATTAACTGAATATTAAAACCCTGTACCGAATTGAGGGGAATATTTATGCCAAACAGCAAAAAGTGCCAAATGTAAACAAAATAGATAAATACAATTTTTAAAAAGAAAATAAAATGTATTACAGAGAATCCTGTGCATTGCCTAAAACATTATCCTACTCTTTCCAGAAATCTGTTTGGCAAATCATAGGTCCAATGGCCATATGCATGCAACCTTACCCATCCCCTCATTTTTTTTAAAACTTGTGTTTACAAGTTGCTTAATTCTGCTAAATTAAACCTGTGCTTGTCTTTTCAGACCCACTTACCCAATATTAAAGTTCACGCCTACTTCGCGCCCGTGACCCCCCCACCCTCAGTGGGGGGCAGCAGACAGCGCTTCTGCAGATGTTGCATCATCCTATGACGCGGGAGTTGATCTACCTTGTGCAAAAAACTGAGTATTTAAATTACCCTTCTAGAAGTAACCGTGGACACCAGTATCTCCATGAAAAGTGATGCCGGTGGTCTTTTCGTGAGGGCCTTTTGAAAGAAGGCAAAGCAGCGGGAACTGGATGCTGAACTCTGTTCCCCTTTTTTGCCCCATAGCCACACATGAAAACACACATGTCATAGTGTACACACATACCCACACACACACCTACTTAGTCCAGCAAACTGAAGGACTCTGGAGCTGAGGAGCTGGATCAGTGGGATCTTTCTCCCTTTTTTCCTTGTAGGTGGATTGGTATAATGATGAACCATTCCTACTGGGCATGCTCAGAAAAAAAATCATGGGGAGGTGGGCGGGCAAGACAGTTGGGAGGGGATCATCACACACCTCTGAAAAACTGCTGTTCCTTGGAAGTGAGAAGGAAAAGATCATTCTTTTGATATTTAATCAGCAAGATGGACAAACCCTTCAGTGCAAGTCTGGGGAGAGGGTTGATAACTGAGGAAGGGAACAGAAATGAACACTGAATCTTAAAGTCACTGTCAGAGGGAAGAAAATGTAAAAAAAATCCCAACACAATCCAAGGTTATATATTTTTTATTTCTTAAAAAAATCATCCTTGTGTTAGGGAATGTTAAAACAGCAGCCATTGTGAGATGTTTATTCCTGCGCTTCTGTATTTCCTCGTTTTACGTGCCGGCACATACACTGAGCATGCTCATGTTGAAGGTTCAGCGGTTTATCTTCCGTGTTTCATAGCATTTGGCTCAGAGGCTTCCTAGATTGTTGTGACGATAAAGCTAGAAATCTGTAATGTCAGGTCTGATTTATTTTCTTTTGTTTTTTTTTCTTTTCCTCAGTATCTCCACAATTTTTTTAAAAAAAGAAATAGATGTCTAATTCTGAAATTGTATGAAACAATTGAACATAAAATATATGTCAAGGTTATTTTTTAAGGCATCTTTTACCACTAGGTTTGAAAATATAGCTGTGAAACAGATGGATGTTACAAAAGCAAAAGCCCTTCTATACAGATTCTTTCCCAGATTTTTAAACCAATAATTCAAGTTGGAGAGGATGGCATTTGTTATATCATAGTGTATGTTCAGATGTACATCTATCAAAGAAACATATGACCCTAAATCAAAAACTGCACACAACTATATATTACTCTGTTTTAAATAGTAATTTTCCTGCATCATGAGAGCCATCTCTGAAAGTTCCTCTTTAGTCAGTCTGGTTTTCATAGCTTCATAGCCAAATGGGTGCAATCTGTTTAGAAGTCGCCACCTTGATGTGAAAATTAGCTAGATTTATCTAGTTCAACACTAAAGGGTATAACAATATATTTCATTTTGCTTTGCTTAATTTAGAGCTACTTCATCAGAAAGCACTGGAGCCATTTCATGGTGCCTTGGAGGCCAAGTTGTGTAGTGGATGGGTTTTTTTAAAAAAAAATACATGCAGAATAATAATGTCATTCCAGTTTCCTGCAGGCTGAATTACCAATTCAACCATCTATTGGCTTTGTCCTTCACAAATTATGCCCAAACATAGATTTTAAAGGCACCTGCCAGTGTGATGGCTGGATTACAGAAAGCACAAAGGAGCCTTTTATAAGGAGAAGTACAGTCCCTATGCGCATGGCTCACTTATTGATGTTTCTTACAAACATCCAATTTTGTAATTGGAAGCTTCCCATTTGCCTATTCTCATTCCAGTTGTTTCTGATCTGCTGCTCTCTTTTCTGATGTGTCGACTCCTTATGTCCCAAGGCATGGCTTGCCAAATAACTCCTTCTCTTCCAACTCAGTTCAACTCCCAAAGATTTACTCCACTGTTGTGGCTCTCAGAGTGGGAGATAAAAAGCCATGTTGGTAACAGATGAAAATCTTTAATGCAGCTTGCCATGGTACTGTCAGGCTATGCACAAATGGGATAAAAGCATCTTAAACGTGTATAGAATTGTCAAGTCAGTTAATGTTGCCGGATTTGCACTGGATACCAAAGACTGGGACAGGGAAGCTGAAATATAGTTATGGCGAAAGAAACTGGATGTGTTCTCCACTTTATCCCTCCTGATGTTAAAGTGAAAAGGTCTCCATCCAGAGTTGGAAGCACACTTTGCACAAGTAGATCGGGCTGGTTCCGAGCGGGTGGTGAGACAGAAGTCTGACCCAGACAGCATTACAAATTGTTCAAATATAAGGCCAGGTACTCACTTTTCATTCTCTGCAGCACACAGATCTTGGAGGACAATCCTTAGTTATTTTAACTGGCAGAAGAATTGGGGGTGGGGAATACTATTGTTTTATGGGAGTTGTCCTGTGAAATGTTCTCTTATTTAAGCTAAGGCGCTAAAAAGTTACTTTGGATTTCAGAGAATTTGTGTTTCCCTGTGCCCTCTTGAGAATTATTAAATTTATGCAGTGATCTCTTAACTTCTTTATTTCTCTCATGTACACACAAACACGCATTACATTTTCAAGTCTCAAGGGCTTTAGAGCAGTGCAGACTAGTACCAAAGACACAAAAAAGGGAAAGCTTACTGTTTTAAAAGGAAATGCTGTTTTCTCTCTTTCTTTATCTTGAATTTTTTTCAGTGACTCCACCACAGTTATATGACTGTTTTTTCCATTACCATATACGATTAATGCAACCATTTCTAACATTTGACAATGTAACACCCTCTTTTGAATCCCAAAATGACTATGACATTTGTCAAACTACTAAATGTTGCAAAATTATTGATTCTTTTGAACATGCCAGGAGCACAGACTTATTGCCACAATCTTGACAGTGTTTAAACACAGCTTACAAAGTAAGCCATAGAATGTTTCTAGGATCTTCCTCCTCCACTAAAGGTAGGGAACTAAAACAATCCACCAAACATTATTCTCATACAGACCTCTTTAATATGAATCAAAATTGTACCATAGTAATGCTTGCTGGATTGCATGTGCCGTTGTTTTTTTTCTCATTTGTCCATGTTAAATAGCAGTTTATCTCTACCCTTCCATACCCCATGATGTGGGAACCATTTTTCAGTCTCCTTCAGAGTGGGATGGCACCATAGGAAACTTCTTGCATGTCCTTTGTATGCAGGGGACCTGTATTTCTAACTGTCAGATTCCAGAAAAAGATAATTTGAGACCAAAATGATAGTTGCTAGAATTGGGTGCTGCAAGCCAGAAAAAATGATTTAATTTATGCAATTTGGTGAACTCCTTCTAGAATTAAGCATAATCCATCAACTTCCTTACCTGTATTTATTAATAATACAAATAAACGACCATTTTCTATGTTTGTCTTGTTGGGGAAATGGCTTTTCATAGAATTAAAATACTATGTTCTTGTTTGCTAGTAATTTCTCCCAGGTAATTTTAGACTTTTTGTTAATTTTAAATACTGCAAGAAGTCGATTCTCAATATGTCATGTGGGCAAATTTTAATGTGCTTCACCACCTTCTAAGACTTGAACTTCCCAGTTTTCCAGCCAGAATGTTTGAATATAAGAAGCTCAAGTTTTTGCCTCTGGTTTGATGTTGGGGTTGATTCCTTCTTTAATCTATGTACTTCCTATCATGTGTGAAAAATACACATATTTTGAAATTGGTACAAGAAGCTCAGAAGAAGCTTTGACTTTGAAAGCAGTGGGCAAGTGGCAATGTAGATCAGTTCCTCACTACATATTCACAGGATTTCAAAATAAAGATTATTATTTTCCCTTCAAAGACCTTTGGACTCAAAACCACCCCTTCAAACACATCTGTTTGCGCATATGATTTTTAAGCAAGGATTAGCTGCATTATGCATTTTATTATTTTGGAAATAGTGGTGTTAAATAGTCATTGATGACTGTTGTGGGGGTTTGAAGATATACTGCATCATGAAAGCCTTCCTGTTCTATAATAGGCTTCTTACATTATTATAAGGAAAGAATTTTCACCCCACAGCTACCTGATTACTAGTGAGCTGCACGTGAAAAAGAAGGAGAGGTTTTGAACTTAATGAAAATTGATATCCAAAGTGATGGGGTCATTTGGAGGTCTAAGTCAACTGAGCATTATTTTGGTAACCAGATTGATAAGGGTTTATTCTTACAATATATGCCAAATCAAGTATCTGAACAGAAAATAGTTATCCTCCGGGTGACCTTTAAAATTTCAACTACAGCTGGGCTACTAAGAAACATATGGTAAGGATACAGTATGACCACAACAGCTTTTACTTATTATCTCTCCACTTTTTTAATCTACTTATTCAGCTGGAAGCCTTGAAAAGCTGAAATGTCAAACGTGTTGGCATTATCTTTAGATGTTTTCATACTTGGATAAAAGTAGGTGATTCTCCAATAAAACCTGTGTTATCTTGCAGCTGCACTCACATCCTGTTGCATATTATGGGAAACATTCATTATTATCCCAGTGGCTGGGTAGCAACTTGTTTGGCAAACTGATTAAAGATTGTTGGAACAGATAGTATACCCACAACCATATGATCTGAACACCCACAGGCTATGACAAAATGCTGATTCAACAGATTTTTCAAGCTCTAATGCAATCACAAGTTAAAATTTTCATCTGCAGGCTAAATTTGCAACACTTTTTAAAAAGAATTAGGTGGTCTATGTTTTTTGTTTTATTTTTTCTTTATGTGTAATGTAAATGTGATTAACATGGCTGGCCATGGTGTTGTGTATTTGGGTGGGTGGAAGGGAAGGAATGGTGTCTTAACATGAGTTTCTTGTTTCAAAGGAGGAGGCCCATAGGAAGACGTGGGTTTCCTTACCTGTGATCTGTACATAGGAACTGGAATTCAGGAGCCATTGTATAAATTTATTAGATATTCAGCTGGTTTTCCATATATTGGATTTTGATAGTTAAACACCAGACTTCTTTGCAACTGAGTACCTTACAATTCAGACAGTTCCATCAGGACAATTGTGGTGAAGCTCTAACGAAAAACCTTTCATTACACAAATCCAGTCATTCAAGCGCTGTGTTTCTTAAAATGTTTACTACCGTGTGAATCCTTGACGTTTTCTGCTCCGTTTTTAAAAATACCACTTCCAAATTGTGGAGCGCAGTGCAACCACCTGATATTGAGTAGTTTTGATCAAGATACTTTTTAATGTGAATGGCAAGTCTGTTTTTTCTTGGAAAGAAATATGTTGAACACTCAAGATAGAGATTTGTCATTTAGCCCCATAATTATGTATTATATATTATGAGATATTACTTTAATGACCCCATAACCTGTGCTTTCCCCTCTTCTGGACACTTGAGTGTGAATATAATGCCAATTCACTAAAAGTAAAGCTATACATATATAAATAGGTATGTATATATGTAGCTAAATCTGTCGTTGTCTTTTTTACTATCCAGCATTGTAATCTTGGTTAAATTTGTATTGATAGAAAACCCTTGATATTTTGTAGCTTTGCAGGATAACATAAGAATGTTTTTGAGTTAGTCAAGGTGCTGTTTTCAGTCTGACTTAAGTAAGTGCACAATTAGCGTTTGGATTAGTTTTTGGAGATTTCTTTTGTGACTTTGAGTTCAGTTCATAAAGTGGAAAAAATTTAATATCTAATTACCATGCTTACTTATTGGAAAATTAAGCCTGGGTAATAGATATTTAACAGGAAATACAAGGAGCATTATATTAGAATTGTGGAATAGGACTATATCACCATGTGACAATGAATGAGCAAGGTCTCTATAACTGCAAGTATCCATTGTGATCTATGAAAGACTAACTTTTGAACTATGCAAGACTATTATGCTAACCTTGGAAACAGCAATACTTTGGACGATACTCCATGTAAACGTTCAGAAAGGCTTGTTTACATACACAATGGTTTTACTGGTGCGATTCTAGACCTTCGTGCAATGCAAAGTTGGCTCTAACTCATGCTGTACATTTTAAAATAGTACAAAGATGCCCTCAGGCTAGAAAATTGTTAGATGTATATTGAAGCTTAGATTTGGTTAAAATGCTGACACTGCAATTCAGCCAAATTGTTCTTGTGCCTCCAGCAAGGTTTTGCATGAGTTTTCTTTATCTGGGAGAGGAAGTTCCATGGACTCTGAGGTTCTGGATAACAAATCTGGATGTTCAAAGAGATAAATGTACACTTAATAGCCTTCCTTATTCAGCCAAAAAATATATACTTCATATTGTTTCCACTTACACATTATGTGCATCTGGCAGTTTTGAAAAACCACCCAGCTGGTAACAGATGGCAGTAAAATGCAGCCATATTTTAATATAAAAAGTTTTAGACATACACAGCAATAAAAATAGATTTTTAAATATAAGTTTGCAGTTAATACTAACAGGTGAAAATGGCTTAAGCAGGGTCAGAGCATATGTACTTTTCTTGAGGAAAGACTTCTGAAAACCAATTGTTTTGTGCTTCTGTTTTACTGGTCAAATGCAAGATAGGAGTAACACCAATAATCTATATATGTTTACCTAGGAGTAAGTCCTATTTTTTTCCCAGATTAATGAACACAGCACTGCAGCTTAACACAGGCTTGGAATGCTTGAAATTTAGCCTTCTGTTTATTGGCTTTTTACTATTTCTCTCCTGAAACCTGCAAACCTCCCAAATCTTGCAGTCTGTGCTTGTGAGGTAAATGGAAGAAAGGCTAGTGCACTGAACATTTGTAGTCCTTTGCTTCTGGAGACATGACCTTACTTTCCTTTGGAAGCTGGAACATAAATTGGGAAGCTCTCAAATTCTTCGATATTGTTACACAATTCTCCTTAAGCCAATTATCTGACCTTGGTTTACCACCTCTTCTTACCATTGGATATCATGGCAATGACATTGATCTGTCACCTGCCTCCTCAAGATCTCTACCAAGATGTGTCAGCTACTGACCAGAAGAACCCTATCACCAGTCTCGTCTCATCTCCAGAAACCTTCATGGGTGACCATACTGGCACCAGTCTTAGATTAGACTAAGTCTTGTGGATAGGGGCAGGTATGTCCTTATGCTCCGTGTTGTAGTGGCAAAGATCAGGAGACGGAAGTTCTAAGCAAGCGGAGCTACTATGAACTATGGGTGAAGCCAATTGATTTTAGTGACAAAGCAGGACTGTGGAATTTACAGTCTGAAGGTTGAATAGATTCAGTATAAAGATGTGACTGGATTGACCTTGAAGGAGCTGGGGGTGGCGACGGCCAACAGGGAGCTCTGGCGTAGGCTAGTCCATGAGGTCACGAAGAGTTGGAAACGAATGAACAAAAAGATGTAGCCCCTCATCATTTTATACAGATGAGCACATTGCACACTCCTTGCCTTTCATACCTTGCAGTTATTCTTAGACCATCCCTCTCCAGCAGTGTCCTAGCCCTTGAAAATCATACGCACACAAACCTCAGTGCAACCTTTAAAAGTGTCTCGATATTGTTGGATTTTTAAAAGCCTCATTGCCGTGAGCAAGGCATTATTTTTAATGGTCTAACTCAACCATTTAGATGGCTGCATTCCACATATTCTCCGCAAAATGAGAGTAGCCCACTTGCAGTGTGGGCATTATTGTGTAAATATCTGTACTGAGGCATCAGTATAGGCTCTTTCCTTAGCTTCAAATTTATTGTTCGTAAAGGAAAGGTGATAGTGTTTCCTTGTTTGCAGTATATCACGCATACACTGATTGCACTATATAAATTAATGATATCTCAAATTAGTCATTTAGACTCTCACACCAATAGTCCCTTAAGCTTTCAGCCTAGAAATGCGTCCAATTTGGTTTTTGGATGCACTATAAGCAGAGGATACTGAGCACAAAGGGTTTGGTACCTTCCCATTGTTGATTCGTATGTATGAATGCATTTCACATAGTCATTTGTTAAAAAAGTACATCGTTCCACCACCATTATGCGGTGGGGATTTTGCAAAGACCTTTTTGTAGAAGGACTCTTAGCCAGTAGCCATCAGGACTCAACGTACTGAGAAAAAAACAGTTCAATACGAGTAAAACACATGGTGGGATTTTTTAAAAGTGCATATGCACACACAAAAGCATATAATTTTACTCTTTGCAGTCCTGTCACAGTATCTCTGACCTGGGTGCTTACTTCCTTATGCGTAACCATGACATCTCTGTTGCTTCCTCTACCCATTAGTGAGAGTTTTGCAAAATTGAGCTCATCCACTTAAAGAATTCAAAGGCAGGATAGAAAGCTGAACAGGATGTTATATTTGCAGTTTCAGTGTCTCTTGGTCTAAATAAAATAAAATAGTTTGCTCCTTCAGTTCAGGATCCGAGAAGAGTTTAGCTGTGGGAGTTCCTGAGTTCTTCGGGATACAGTGATCTTGTGGGTTTTTCATTGTTATTATTGCACCTGCTCCTCTACCATTCTGTTCCTTCTTTTCAGGCTGGCAGGATATCTTCTGTTAGGTCCAGGTCTATTTTAGGACTAAGTGGTAGGCTTCCGTATTCTGCACTGTAAGAACACACAACAAAAGACAACATAAATCACTTTTCAAGTATTCATCACCCATACAAATGAATGTATGGACTTTCATTACATCAATTGTGTGGACCGAGGGGCTAGTAATTTTACCCAACACCAGCCTGTGACAGAGAACAAAATGTTGCGCCTATCCATTACAGGTAAAGAAACCCGGTTGATTATAGCAGTTTGATCTTTCGTTCAATGCGATGGGGTCAATGGGGATCACTGAATCCCCAATCCTGCCAAGATATTGATTATGCATGTAAAGGGCATTATATATGACCCCTTTCCATCCACATATACACCATTACAAATGCCACAGTGTGTTGGTTTTTATTGTACAACAAGTCTTTGTTATTTTACAGGCTTACTTACCTTTTATTGCAGCTGCTACAAAGCATGATTCATCTGGGAGATTTCTGACCATCTGTAACAACCCAAAGGAGAGCAATACAATGTTAGATACTGGGCAGATCCATGCCTTTTTAAAAAGCCAATTGGGGGTTGCCAAATTTCAATACATACACATACATGCATATCCATATATCCAGACACCTCCATGACAGATGGCAACATTGCAGTGATGCAGCAAAAGAGATTGTGGTCAGGCATAAAATATAGTGGCACTCTTGAGTATAACAGATGCTCATACAGAGAGATGGCTGGTGGAACATAGTATTCATTTCTTAGAAACGAAACACTGAATGCTCCTTAGCTTGTATTAAATGAATTCTCTTCACATTTGAAGAGTCAGATTTAATTTAGGGTCAGGAAATATTAGCCATGGTGTCATTGTCCAGATTGCACAAGGACACCACAGTAATTGCTATAGGTTCATCCTATGGATATGTAGTTTCATGAGATAATTAGAATTTTCTTCTGGAACTGTAGTTCAGGGGAATAAAGTGTCATCAAGCTACAAATCCCAGGATCTTGTAGGCAACTTTAATGAATTGTGTATCATATATGATATAATATATCCCACAACTGAACACCACTGTAAAGGTGTGTGTATGTGTGTGTGTGTGTGTGTGTGTGTGTGTGTGTATATATATAATATCATGCCACTGGACACCAATATAATGTATATATCACAAACAGTGACGCGAGGCTGGAGGCTTATTAGTATTATGTCTGGGGCAGGAATGGATCTTCCCCAAAGATCTTTTCTTCAAAAATCCCACCCCTGTGCTTCCAATATAGTAGCGAGACAATGATGCATGTGTGTTAAAGCAAAGAGAATACTGCTTTTCTATAATCTCCCTTTTTGAATTAAAGCTGCCTCCAACCTATGTTGCCTTAGGAGTTTTAAGAGTATTTGAGGTAAACTTTTCCCACTCCTGCCAACGCTGCTTTTTCCCCTGGCTCCCAAAATAACTGTTTGCCAAGAGGCTTTTCTGTAGTAACAAGATGTTAAAAATGCTAGAACTATCACACCGGCTTGATGATAGAATAATGCGCAGTAGAGATCTTTTGAAAGTTAAATAGAACAAGATTTATTTATAAAAACAAACAACTACTTTTGAGAGGTACAAAAAGCGTGACTTGTTACAAAAGTACTTCAGCTTGATGGTTGCTTGAATAGTTCTCTTCACTTGGTTACAGACAAAGCTAACCAAACAGATCTGCCTGTTGGTAACAAAAACCCTCACTCTACTTCAGAGAAATAATAATGATTTCTGACTAACCTATCCTAGGTAATCCCCTGGGTTATTAACAAACTCTACCGTAGAGATCTTCCTGCTAACTAACCCAGCCTAGAGAGCCAATCTTTTGCGCTAATTCTCACAAGCAATCAGGTTGCTGTCTGAACTTTTCCTATCAGCTCACAGCACTGTCTGACACAGACACTCTCTCCCTGCAAACCCAGTTTCAAAAAACCCTTCTTCACACACCAGCTCCCACTGAAGCTGAAATCTTTTTCCCTCTTAAGACTTGGCTCCTCCCAACTGCTCTAGACAATCCTTGTTGTTGTTCATTCATTCAGTCGTCTCCGACTCTTCGTGATCTCATGGACCAGCCCACGCCAGAGCTCCCTGTCGGCCGTCACCACCCCCAGCTCCTTCAAGGTCAGTCCAGTCACTTCAAGGATGCCATCCATCCATCTTGCCCTTGGTCAGCCCCTCTTCCTTTTGCCTTCCACTTTCCCCAGCATCATTGTCTTCTCTAGGCTTTGCTGTCTCCTCATGATGTGGCCAAAGTACTTCAACTTTGTCACTAGTATCCTTCCCTCCAATGAGCAGTCGGGCTTTATTTCCTGGAGGATGGACTGGTTGGATCTTCTCGCAGTCCAAGGCACTCTCAGAACTTTCCTCCAACACCACAGCTCGAAAGCATCGATCTTCCTTCGCTCAGCCTTCCCTAAGGTCCAGCTCTCACATCCGTAGGTTACTACAGGGAATACCATGGCTTTGACTAGGCAGATCTTTGTTGCCCTAGACAATCCTAGGAGACTCCAAACTCCTCCCCTGTTCTATCTATCCTCACTCAAGATGACTGCCTCCCTGGCATCCACTCCCAAAATGGTGGTCTGCCATACCGTTATCCAGGCTTCCTTTCAGGCCTACTAGGTAAGATTCACTACAGCAGCCATGGCAGTTTAAGTAGTATAGAGCTGTTAAAATTGTTTAGGATGTATCCACTCAAAGCTTAGAAATCTGCAAAGCAAATCCATATGCGCATGCATGCGTTGACCTTAGTGTACCAGTCAGCTCCCCCTCTATCCTTGGTGTAATGAGGAAATGCTTGCTTGACTTCATACTTCAAACCCAAAATGCTGAGGATTGCAGTGTTGTAAGGTGGGATAACATGCAAACCTTTATTTGCTCCTCTCCTGCATTACCTGAATGTGGATTGACTCAGGGATGGTGAAAGTTACAGCACAAAAAGGAACTTCTTCATGGTCTGGTTTCAGTCATCATCTGAAGAAGATCGCAGTGTGTTCATCTTTTATGTATGAGTGTCTTACCTGATCACTGACAAGGATGTGAATTCCTGTAGGCCCCTGTCTGGAAACCTGATGGATTTGGCTGACTGGGAAGCTGAGTAGTTCAGCCAGTTTATTGGTAAGTTCGGTGGCAGTCAGTTCTTCCAAATACAACTCCTGATACATGACTTTTGATAAAGGAAAAGGAAGGGAAAATAGTAAACCCGCAAACTAATACAAATAAAATTTTATGTAGGTTAAAAAAAAATTCAGCTTAATATATACAGTCAGCCCTCCACATTCAATGGGGTTAGGGGTACAAGACTCCCAAGAAAGTGAACCAAAAACACTTTTTAAAAAAATCTGAGAAGTCTTTACCTTTCTAGAAATGTCTAGAACAGTGTTTCTCAACCTGGGGTCCCCAGATGTTTTGGGCCTTCAACTCTCAGAAATCCTAACAGCTGGTAAACTGGTTGGGATTTCTGGGAGTTGTAGGCCAAAAACATCTGGGGACCCTAGGTTGAGAACCACTGGTCTAGAACCTATAGTATGACCCTATTGTCAACTTCTGCTGGAAGTTTTTTTCAAAAAACAAAAATGGCCAACTTCTATGGTAGTATGAATTGTTGCTCTGCAACACTCACAATCCCTCATTGTTATTGGCTGAGGCCATTTGGGATTTCCAGTCCAAGACCACCTGTAGGACCACATATTTTCCAAGCCACTCTTAAAAGGAACATTGCAGTGTGTAACATTAAAGATAAAATGCTAAAAAGTAAAGTTTTTTTGTTAAAAGCAGAACTTTGTGAAACTCCTCATAAAGAGCAAACATTTCCAGAGGGAAATGACAGTGTTTATCACTAAAACAGCTTCTTGAATAAGAAACAAAAAATCACCATGGCCACCACCACCTATGAAAAACAGTTTCGCTGTCTCCTGATAATTGTGGATAGATGAAGGTAGGAGGAGGTCTATCATAATTCCTCTGATGTTAACTTTAATGGAGTAATGTTAGGAATGTACTGTATGACCCCCTGCAGAAGACACGTTCCCAGACTTCACGTGGATATGCAAAACTGTGAATAGCAAACTCAATTGAAATAAAGCACCTCTGACCCAAGAATACTACAGTGTTGCACTGGAAGACCTAGAAAATGCTTAGAGAGGACATATTTTGTTGGCTGTAGAATAAAACCGCAGAAACCAATCCCACAGATACAGAGGTTGTACTATATTTATAGCCTGCCCTTCAGCTAAAATAGTTCCAAGATAGCTTACACATCATCAGGATACAACATAAATAAGTTAGATTGTTGTTTTATGCCTTGAAGTCATTGCTACCCTATGACAACCCTAAGGTGACCCTATCATGTGGTCTTGGCAAGATTTGTCAACAGCAGACTTCTTCTAAGGCTAGAAGAGTTTGACTTGTCCAAGGTGCCCAAGGTGATTTCCATGACAAAGGAGGGATTCTGGTCTCAGTTCTAGTATAACACTCAAGTCACACATCACACTTGTTCGCACAAATAAGACAGGACACAGAAGGAAAATGGAATGGCTGTGGGGTGCCATTGGAAGTCAAATGGCAGTTGGAATGAAAGGAGCAACTCTCATCAGCCACTGGACCAAGGCACAATGGTACACTTTGAGTAACATTAACTTACCTGACTCTGGGTTGGGGGACCCATTGTTCCCACTTGTTTCCAGTTCCTTGGACACATAAAGGGTGAGTCGAGGGCGCACACACCTGTGAAAAGAGGGAGAAGCTTAGTGTGGCTGGTTTGGGGTTGTTGAGCTCGATCCTGACTGCCTCCCTTTGTAGTTTTAATGTAAAGTAAATCCTAGTTGGTTTCATTGAGGATTGTTGTGTGCCTTCAAATCCTTCTAAAGTATAGCAACCCTTAGATGACCTTATTACAGTTTTCCTGGGGCTGAGAGTGTTGGACTTGTCTGAAGTCCCTTCCATGGCCAAACAGGGATTCACAACTTTGTCCTCAGTTGTTCCTTTATAACAGGGGTCCTCAAACTAAGGCCCAAGGGCCGAATACAACCCTCCAAAGTCATTTACCCAGCCCTCGCTCAGGGTCAACCTAAGCCTGAAATGACTTGAAAGCACACAACAACAACAACAACAATCCTATCTCATCAGCTAAAAGCAGGCCCACACTTCCCATTGAAATACTAATAATTTCTTATTTGTTAAAATTGTTCTTCATTTTAATAATTGTATTGTTTTAAGTGGGGGTTTTTTGCACTACAAATAAGATATGTCCAGTGTGCATAGGAATTCATTCATGTTTTTCCCAAATTATAATCCGGCCCTCCAACAGTTTGAGGGATTGTGACCTGGCCCTCTGCTTAAAAAGTTTGAGGACCCCTGCTTTATAACAAGGATTCATAACCTTTTTTATTCTATGGACCTCTTTGCCAGTTGGGTGAAAACCATGGACCCTTTCTAAGAATATAGAGGCGGATCCTTTTATGGCACTCAACACTGGCATGTCATACAATATACATGATCACAGTAGGAATGTGATTGTGTGTGATCTAGAATCGGGTCTAACAACTAATTTCAAAGTATGGAAGAGCATAAGTGGTTTTTCAAGATCTGCAACCACTGTAATGTGATATGAAATTAAATATGAGTATTTAAGACTGCAGCCTAACAGAACAATGTCTCTTCAACCAAACCGACCAATCAAAGAATAAAGAGAAGTAGAAACATCCAAGAAATGTAATGCAGAAAAGAGTTGACCTTTGAGGACATTGAAAAGACAGATGAATTTATGTTTGAAAAAAAAAACCCTCATGTTTTCACCTGAAATTATTTCTATGCCTGTCTTGACAGAATTACAACTAGGAGAAAGGATCCTAGGAGAAAGATGGTCTCCAAAGGGTATGCGTGGTATAGTTGTCTCAGCTGTACACCATATGCCTGAAAAGAGGCATGGACTCTCTCCAGTTGTCTCTATGTCAAGTGGAGAGAGGAAGATCTGGGAGTTAACACTGAAACATATGTGTCCTTCTATCTTCCACATTGGTTAGACACTACCTTTTTATTGTTTACTAGCCATCCCCTGCCACGTATTGCTGTGGCCCACATGGGGGTTCTGTGTGGGAGGTTTGGCCCAATTCTATTATTGTTGGGTTTCAGAATGCTTTGTGATTGTAGTGAACTATAAATCCCAGCAACTACAACTCCCGAATGTCAAGATTCTATTTTCTCCAAACTCTACCAGTGTTCACATTTGGGGATATTGAGTATTCGTGTAGAGTTTGGTCCAGATCTAACATTGTTTGAGTCCACAGTGATCTCTGGATGTAGATGAACTACAACTCCAAAACCAAAGGACATTGCCCACCAAACTCTTCCAGTATTTTCTGTTTTCATGGGAGAACTGTGTGCCAAGTTTGGTCCAATTCTATTGTCCTTTGGGTTCAGAATGCTCTTTGATTGTAGGTAAACTATAAATCCCAGCAACTGCAACTCCCAAATGACAAAATCAGTTTTTTTGAGTGAAGGACATACATTGGGTTATTAGGTGTCTTGTGTCCAAATTTGGTGACAATTCGTCCAGTGGTTATTGAGTTCTGTTAATCCCACAAACGAACATTACATTTTTATTAAATGTCAACCCTGATGGATGCTTCAGGTATCATACTATATTTAATGACAGGGTTTGCCTCCTGTAACATTTGGGTTTCCTGCTGAACTCTTAGAATCTGAGATAGTTCTGATCTAGCAACCCAACTACTGAAATGCTCACCATCTTGAACTCATGGGGCTCATTTTCCAGGTATGTGTGTGTCAAGAGCCATCATGGTGTGGTGGTTCAAGAGAAGGACTGGGAACCTCATCACAAAGACCCATTGATTCGCCACATATCATGGTGAACCCATGGGGTTCTGGCAGGGGGCGTGGAAAACCTGTTGCTCCGTGCCCTGCATCACCCGACCTATCCTGAGCTGCATCGAATGGATTCTATGTCAAAAGTGCAGAGCAGCAGCCCATACGATGAGTGGTAGGACTCTGTTAGACCAGGGTTTGAATCCCAACTTGATCATGGAAACCCAGTAGATGATCTCAGCCAACTCACCATCTTTTGTTCTTGGATGAAAGACAGTGGCAACCCTCCCATTGGCAACCCTCCCACGGAATAACATGTGCCAGGAAAACCCTGTAATAGGCCTGGCACAAATCAGATATGACTTCAATGCTCCCCAAAACAACAACAGTGTATACTAACTGTAAAATTAGAACGTGCAAATGTGAGAGTGGACAAGTTCATCTGTAACAGCTGGGTGGGAGAAAACATTACAGCAAATGTAATTTGTATTACATCTCTGGAAATGTCTCCTTCTGTGCAGCTTTGAAATATAGAGAAGCCCTGTCCTCTTTTACGTGTGGTACCCTCTATAAGCTGATTTGGGAGTCTTTAAACAAGAACAGGATTATTTTTTTGCTTAATTCAGTTCTTTCCCCTAACTTTGCCCCTCTCCCCCCTTAATAGTATTTTTAATAGAGGCTTCCAGAAATAATCCATAAGCAGCCTCCTTTTCTTTCTAATTCCTTACCTGGCCTTTAGGGCATTACAGAGTCGGATTCCATCTGCTGTTCCACAGATTTGTACCAGATCAGTGCGAGAAAGCTTGAGCAAGTCAGCTCCTATGAGAGAAGGAAAAAGTGATTAGCAAAATGGTTCCTGTTTGGAATTTAACTGCAACCTGTAAAATTCACATTATTTTTTGGAGACAGAATGAAAGCAAAGTGTAACTTCAATTATTATTTGAGTAACTGTATTTATAAACCGTCTTTCTCACCATGGGGACTCAAGGCGGCTAACAATCTCACGCTTAGTCAAGTTTTTAAAAACACAATACAAAAGTTAAAAAAACATTTAAACAGTAATAGTGTGGTAAAACAGATTAAAATACAATAAATAATAATAATAATAATAATAATAATAATAATAATACTTTATTTATACCCCGCCACCATCTCCCCAAGGGGACTCGGGGCGGCTTGCATGAGGCCAAGCCCAACAATAGATAAAGGTAAAGGTTTTCCCCTGACATTGTCCAGTCATGTCCGACTCTGAGGATGGTGCTCATCTCTATTTCTAAGCCGAAGAGCCAGCATTGTCCATAGACACCTCCAAGGTCATGTGGCCAGCATGACTGCATGGAGAGCCGTTACCTTCCCGTCAGAAAGGTACCTATTTATCTACTCACATTTGCATGTTTTTGAACTGCTAGGTTGGCAGAAGCTGGGGCTGACAGTGGAAGCTCACGGTGCTCCCTGGATTTGAACCTGTGACCTTTCAATCAACAAGCTTAGCAGCTCAGTGGTTTAACCCACTGTGCCACCGGGGGCTCCCATTAAAATACAATAAATACACTTAAAATGGCCTTTAAAACTCACAGCCTGCTCCACCCAATCCTTATCTTTTCCCAAATACCTACTGGCAGAAGAAACTCTACTATATATATAAAATTTTCTCAGAAGATAAAAATGTCAACAAGACTGACAGAGACAAACACGTTAGTCTCAAGGCTGGTACAAGATACTTTTATATACTGATATCAGACTAAGTCTTTGAAGAGGTTCACATAACACAAGACTAGATTTCCCTAAACTATGTAAATAAAGGTTAATTGTCCTCCACAGCCATACATACCCATATGTTTCATCTAGAAGGCTAGAAAATGCATTAACTAGAGATAATGAAGTAACACAAGAAAGAGTTGTGTCCTCAAATGAGTTTATTATCAGCTCTGCCACGAAAGGGGAGCAGCCTCACCTGTATAGCTGGTGAAAACCCTGCAATAATTGGAGAACCTGTTTTTGTGCAACCACTGTTGAGTTTCCATGATGGAGGCGTTTGGGCTCAGGATCTGAAAGCAACAGACAAATGGAAAATGAGCATCAGCTACAATCCACACAGGACTCAGAACCAACCGACACCATCACCTAAACATAGAGCCCAGTTCCAGGAGTAGAATGATTGTATACAATCAGCCCTCAACATTAGCGAGTTTGACTTCTGCAGATTTCATTATACATGGATTTAATAAAATGTCTTTTAAATGATTTATATAGTATTTTAATGGTGTATTTTGCATTGTATTCAATAATCTGGTTTTTATAGATGTATTTGTTTAACACAATATCCGCTTGATAATGGAGAAAGGCAGGGAGTTTCAGAAAAAAAATTCTGGCTGTTCCAATGTGCCTTCTCAGACTAGGAATCCCCAGTACCAAATCACAGAAGCACTTTAATCAGAACCAAGATCATTGCACACCGCACACCGCACTTATATTATAACCCCATATTCCTCCGACACATCAGCACTTTTAATCTTGTACCCCTACTTTGGCCGGCTCAGTTTTAATAATGTTTTGTTGTACTGCTATTGTTATTGTTTTGCTTAACTGTTTATTTGCTAGGTACTATATTGCTGTATTGTGTGGGCTTCGGCCTGTTTGTAAGCCGCATCGAATCCCTTGGGAGATGCTAGCGGGGTACAAATAAAGTTATAATATAATATAATAATAATAATTTCATTGACTATTCTAAAGCCTTTGACTGTGTGGATAATAATAAATTGTGGTAAGTTCTTGGTAGTATGGGGATACCAAATCACCTTATCTCTATCCTGAGGAATCTGTATAAGGACCAAGTAGCAACTGACCATGGAACAACACTGGTTCAAGATTGGGAAAGGTGTACGGCAGGGTTGTATAACCTCACCCAACCTATTCAACTTGTATGCAGAACATATCATGCGATGTGCGGGGCTTGACAAATGCAAGACTGGGGTGAAAATTGCTGGAAGAAACATTAACAATCTTAGATATGCAGATGACACCACTTTGATGGCCGAAAGCGAGGTGGAGCTGAGGAGCCTTCTCATCAAGGTGACAGAAGAAAGTGCAAAAGCTGGGTTGCAGCTAAACATAAAAAAACCAAGATTATGGTAACAAGAATGGTTGACAACTGGGAAACAGAGGGAGGAAATGTGGAGGCTGTGACAGACTTTGTATTTCTAGGTGCAAAGATTACTGCAGATGCAGGCTGCTGCCAGGAAATCAGAAGATGTTTACTTCTTGGGAGGAGAGCAATGACCAATCTTGATAAAATAGTGAAGAGTAGAGACATCACACTAGCAACGAAGATCCGCACAATTAAAGCAATGGTATTTCCTGTAGTAACCTACAGATGTGAGAGCTGGACCATAAGGAAGGCTGAGCAAAGGAAGATAGGTGCTTTTGAACTGAGGTGTTGGAGGAAAGTTCCAACCAGTCCATACTTCAGGAAATAAAGCCCGACTACTCATTGGAGGGAAGGATATTAGAGGCAAAGATGAAGTACTTTGGCCACATCCTGAGAAGAAAGGAAAGCTTACAGAAGACAATGATGCTGGGGAAAATGGAAGGAAAAAGGAAGAGGGGCCGACCAAGGTCAAGATGGATGGGCGTTATCCTTGAAGTGACTAGCTTGACTCTGAAGGAGCTGGGGGTGATGACGGCTAACAGGGAGCTCTGGCGTGGGCTGATCCATGAGGTCACAAAGAGTCAGAAGTGACTGAATGAATAAAAAACAACAGAGGCTGGTTGGCCATCTGTCGGGGGTGCTTTGAATGCAATTTTCCTGCTTCTTGGCAGGGCGTTGGACTGGATGGCCCTCAAGTTTTCAATGCAATGATTCTATGATTCTATAATAATTAAAAATATCTTGTCTAGGAATTTCTAGATTCTCCAGTGAGACTCTATGACCAGCTTCTGCCAAAAGTGGATCATAGAGTCATGTCGGAGGACCTAGAGATTCCTGCCTAGGCATCTAGATAGATGTTCTTTGGGAGATATTCTCTTATGACCTCATCAGATACAGTATTTTCTGTGTGTTCTCCATTTTTATATGATGTTGATGCATCTTCTTCTATCTATAGGCATTACTACCTTCTTCTTTTCCTCTGAGCTGATTTCTTCCATCTCTGACCTGAATAAAGCCACTGTGCTGCCTGATGGAAGCCAGAATTAGGGGCCTTTGTAAAATATTTAGGAGCTTTTGTTTGAAGTTCCCAGAAGATTTTATTGTCAGACGCTTTAGTGTTTTATGTTCTTTTAAACTTTAGTGTTTTATGTCTTTTTTAACATATTAGTTAAAAGGCCTTAATGGCTGGAATTGCTGAAAACAATCAGGGCTGGCTAACACGTCCAACAAAGGATTTTCCCCAGGCAGGAAGCAGTCAGACTTTGAAGTTGCAAGGCTAATCAATGCTAATCAAGGTCATTAATTGCAATATTCACATTTGCCTCAAGCAGACAAGAGTTCTTTCTCCCACCTTGGACATCCCACAGATATATAAACCCCACTTGACTAGTTTACAACAGACCTCACAATTTCTGAGGATGCCTGCCATAGATGTGGGCAAAACATCAGGGAGAATGCTTCTGGAACATGACCATACAGCTCGGAAAACTCACAGCAACCCATTTTAGCGTCTGACATCGAAATCATACTTAGTCACCAGATGGCACCCCAGCACTGTTTTTAGTACACTGAGGAAGACATAAATGTTCAATACCTGCATAATTTTTGTGATTCTATCAGGTTGCACTCCCAAGGATCCCATCTATTCATCTCCAAATCTGCTACATTTAAAACGAATTATTTCAGATATATATCCCAGTAGAACTCATATTGCTGGTTGCCTGCCAATCCTTATCCTATAACGTTTGTTTCCAAACTATTCAGTATCAAGGATTTTTTTGTGTGTGTCAGAAGCGACTTGAGAAGCAGTTGCTTCTGGTGTGAGAGAATTGGCCGTCTGCAAGGACGTTGCCCAGGGGACGCCCAGATGTTTTGATGTTTTACCATCCTTGTGGGAGGTTTCTCTCATGTCCCCGCATGGGGAGCTGGAGCTGACAGAGGGAGCTCATCCACGCTCTCCCCGGATTCGAACCTCCAACCTGTCTGCCGAAACAAGGGTTTAATCCACTGTGCCATCAGGGACGCAAGGGGTTGAAACCGCACGGTAGCAAGGATTTTGCATACTCAAGTTTAATTTATGGAGTAGAATATTAGTAATATTTTGCTTCTAAAATGAGCTTAGAAACAGAACCTGAATAAATACAAGTCACTATGCTTTGTTTGTCTTTGCGTATGTTTGGAAAAGGTTAAACCAAATCCTCAAGCAAATGCATATTCCCTACAATTAGCGCTTAACCCATTTCTTCTCCCATAATGAGACTAAGAGATATATGGCTCTGCGATCAGATTTGTAAATTAAGCCCATGTTTGCCTTTCGGAAGCAAATAAAAAAAACAATATATGCAAACCACTGAAATCACATGGTATGACAAATAGCTTTGTGGGGTGGGGAACACATCTGAAAAACTATGATAAACGTCAGGAGAAAATGTCTCTAGAACATGGCCATATAGGCTGGAAAAACCTACAACAACCCTATGATAAATGTGTAATTTGATCCAAAACAGTAAGGACCTTCAAGAAAGAAGTTTTTATAATTTTTTAAAAGCATGTAATAATTTTTTTCATACTTCTCCTATGTTCTCTGATGAGCTGTCCAAGGCATAGCTGGGTGAAGAGACCCTGTCAAGGAGAAATAAGATTATTCTGTCTGATTGCCAAGGTTCCAAAGAATGGAAGATACACATGTTATTTACAGAGACTTGATTTAGACCTGCTCACCTTTCAGGAGTCTGAAGCTTGAAAGGATGTGGAGAGACAAGGCCAGGGGTTGTGGGTGGGCTGTGGAGATTGCTGGCAGTTTCCGGCCATGGGGCACACTGAAAATAGTGGTGGTGTTGGTGATGGTGGGGCAAATAAAAGAAGAAACATGTTAGAACTTAGACCAGTGGTTCTCAACCTTCCTAATGCCACAACTCCTTAAATCAGTACCTCATGTTGTGGTGACCCCCAACCATTACATTATTTTCATTGCTACTTCATAACTGTAATTTTGCTACTATTATGGATCGTAATGTAAATATCTGATATGCAGGATGTATTTTCATTCACTGGATGAAATTTGGCACAAATACCCGATACACCCAAATTTGAATACTGGTGGGGTTGAGGGGGATTTATTTTATCATTTGGGAGTTGTAGTTGCTGGGGTTAACCTGCAATCAAAGTGCTTTCTGAACTCTCCCAATGATGGAATTGAACCACACTTGGCACACATAACTCCCATGACCAACAAAAAAAAAAATACTAGAAGGGTTTGGTAGGCATTGACCTTGAGTCAATGCCCACCTACATCCAGAGAGCACTCTGGACTCAAACAATCATGGATCTGGACCAAACTTGGCATGAATACTTAATATGCCCAAATGTGAACACTGGTGGAGTTTGAGGAAAATAGACCTTGAAATTTGGGAGTTGTAGTTGCTGGGTTTTATAGTTCACCTTCAATCAAAAAGCATTCTGAACCGCACCAAGAATAGAATTGGGCAAAAACTTCTCACACAGAACTCCCATTGCCAACACAAAAGACCTCACAACCTCTGAGGATGCTTGCCATAGATGCAGGTGAAACATCAGGAGAGAATGCTTCTAGAATATGGCCATATAGCCCGAAAAACCTACAACAACCCAGAAAATACTGCGTTTTCTGGTGGTCTTTGGAGGTCCTTCTGACATCCCCTCATGACCTCCCACCAAGGGTCCCAACCCCCAGGTTGAGAGACACTGCCTTAGAAGTTGCATCTCACACATCCACTAATTTTGAAGCATTTTTGTTTAGTTATAGAACTTCCTGGTTTAGACCATGCAAAAAGGAAAGGGTTATGTGTATGGTACTATAGAATGTGTATGGTACCATACACATAACCCTTTCCTTTTTGCATGATCTAAACCAAGAAGTTCTATAACTAAACAAAAATGCTTCAAAATTAGTGGATGTGTTAGCAATCACTGTGGATATGAAATTATATGAGTCATGCTTGACGGAAATTAGACACTTGAAAAATCTACTTTTAGTTTCCAAATCCTAGAAACCCACAACCAGCATGTGAGATTCTGAGAGTTGTAGTGCAACAGGATCTGAAGGGCCACCATTACCTAATTCTTCCAAAAAAGCAATATTGATTGTCCATTACATTATGCAACACAATTTTTGTTCCTGGGTTGTAAATTTATTTATTTATTTACAGTATTTATACCCCACCCTTCTCACCCTGAAGGAGACTAAGAGTGGCTTACAGAACACACACACAGCAAACATTCAATCCTGATTATACAATTAACAAGGTTAAACATCACAAACAGAGGTAAAGGCTGTTTTTTCCTTCTTATTTCCAGCATCTTGGAGGCTGTGCTCGACTCCAGCCACAGGGGGCGGGTTCTGTCGCTCCATGCCAAGGAACTTTCCTCCCATCAATCTTCTTAAGAGGGCCTTTACTACCTCCCTGCTAAAAGCAGTAACTATTTTATCTACTCGCATCTTGCCTGTCAACCTGCTACGTGGGCAGGTGAGCTGGAGTTAACAGTGGCTGCTCACCCTGACCCGGGCTCAAACTGCCGACCTTTTGACTGGCAGAATTTTTCTGCAGTACAGTGGTTTAAGCCTGCTGTGTTAAGCCCAGCTCAATTTCCTAATCGGTTCTATTATAAAAACATGGAAAAGGTTTATTAAACTGCAAAAACTTTGTTTTTGCGGGACATCCTGCAACACATTTTGTTATAGTTTTTCAATTAATTGGATACAGTGTCTCATAGAGTCTCAACCAATTCTACGGAGTTTGAGACAGACACAAAAACAAAGTTTCTGGAGTATAACAACTACTTTCAAAGTAAATACAGAACAATTAAGCAGTAAATAACACTTTCAAACCAGGAAGAGGATTTTTAAATTTTGTTACATAGTATTATTAAAGTGGTTTCTGGTGTAGTAAAAAAAGAAAACAAGCTTTCAGGCTGCAGAGCACTCTTTGATAAGAAGTTGCTGAGATGGTGATAAAGCACCCCTACCTCTGTCAACATTGTGCTCTCATATGATGGCTGGTACTTCTCACGCTCTTGAAGGGATTGCTTTTCAATCTTTTCCCTGTCTGTTTTCTGCTTCCTGTCTGCTCCTTTGGGCTACCAAAAAAAATGACATTCAAAATATATATCCAATTCTGTCATGTGTTATCTAATGGCAGCCATTCACACACATATACTAGTGAGCCCCACTGATTCAGTGGAGTCTTGTCCTTGGATAAGTGATCACAGAATTTTAACACAAGCCAAGAAGTTGGAACATAAAGAGTGCTTGCAAATGTTTCAGCTGTGATAAGAAAACAGGTCTCCAAAGACTCAATTCAGAAAATGGCAAATGGACATGAAATTTGTTTTGCATTACAGGACTCTGCAAAATGTTGGAGAGCACAACAAATCTTGTTTTAGGTAAGAAAATAGTACATTTATAAGATTAATAGATATATATATGGTTTGCAAAGACTTCAGGAAAAATAGGGATTCCCAACCTTTGGGCCTCCAAATGTTTTGGACTTCAACTTCCAGAAATCCTAGCCAGCTTACCAGCTGTTAGGAACTGTGAGAGCTGAAGTCCAAAACACCTGGAGGCCCAAAAGTTGGGAATCACTGATATATAGAAACATATTTATAGATCTATAGGGCTTGCAAAGGCCAGTGAACGCTTCCAAGGGAACAAAAATGCACATATGAAGTTAATAATAATAATGATGATAAGAAGAAGAAGATGAACAACAACACTTTATTTATATTCCGCCCTTCTCACCTTGAAGGGGACTCAGGGTGGATCACAGTACACACACATGGCAAACATTCAATGCCACTTTGTATTGACAATACAGAGACAGACAGAACAGAAGGAGGTGCCATGGAAGGTTGGGCTCGAGTCCAGGGGGTGCTGTTGCTCTTTCCTCTATGACGAAGAGCCATCAGGACTTCCTCCTTCCTTTTGGTTGCCCAGCATTTTCTGATCTTCTTTCTTTATGACGTCGTAAAACACCTCCCCCGCTATTTAGCAGTACTTAGTTTCTCTAATCACAGCTAAAGCTGTTTTCGAATTGTTTAGGTAAACAATGAGCTAGGCTGACAATTGGCAGCTCACACCAACCCAGGGCTTCGAATTTGCAACCTTTTGGTTGATAGATCTTATAATTGCTGATGGTTTACCAGCTGTGCTAAACCTCTGGTATTAATACATTTAGATACACACACAAAAAGCCAGGAAATAGTGGGTTTGAAAAAGAGCCATACAAACAAGGAGGCCAAGAAATATATCTCATTCCCCTTCTTCCCTCCCTTTTGACTGGAAAAGAGAATGCACTGTTAAGGAAGATAAGAGGAGAGAGAAATATATCAAATATTGCAAGCAATTGCCTCTAGGCTCCTTTGCCTGGCCTTGACCCCATTATAAGCCCAGGGAGGCCTTTTCAGCTCAAAAGAAGGCTGAAAAATTCAGCTTATCTTCGAGTATATACAGTAAGTTACACCCCTATCAAGAAATGACTGTAGAAGTTTGCTGATATGAAATGGAGAACGGAGTAAACACATTAACATTCCCTGAATTGATCTAGTTTTCTATGAGCATCTTTAAGATGCAATGTGTTGACAGCAAGACCTTATACCTTAAGCCAATTAGCATTTGTGTATCACCCAATTTCTCTGTACTTGGAGATAGTGCATTTGATAGGCAACACTGAATTTGTGAATGTAGTAGACTGAAAAGCACTGTGTGGGAGGTGTTAGATTCTGTTTATAGTGTTAGGTATTTGGCAATCTATTCAGTCATGCCAGGTGCCATCTGATGAAGTAGCCACTAAGGAGCAAATGACATTCCTATGGTCCTTTAAAGGTTAACAAATTCAAATTAATTCTCACATGACCTTTCATGGACTATTGGCCACTCCATCCGATTTGCAGTTGTTATTTACTGTCAAGTCTGCGTCAATTTATGGTGACCATATAAATGAAAGACCTCCAAAAACCCCACAAAAAAACCAACCCCATAACCCTTTCTGTTATGAACAGCTGAGATCTAGACCTTGGCTTCTTTTATGGAAAAATCCATCTGTAAAGTGGTTTTCCACTTTTCCTACTGCATCCCTCTTTAACAAGTATTCTCAAATCATCTTATGACAGATCCAAAGAAGAATAGCTTTAGTCTGGCCATTTTGATTTCTAGGAAGAGTTCTAGCTTGATTCGCTCTAGGACACATTTGTTTCTCCTTTTTGTTACGTCTCATGTCCCAAACGAATTTTGTACCTTGGCTTGTTGCAGTCATGGCTAGACGTTCACTCAAACAACAGATTGCCTTTAGTGGACCCTGGAGAACTGGCTTTGATCTCTTGCTGTTCCTAAGACTGGCAAAATTACCTTGAAGACTTTGATGAGACAGCTGGCTGAATGCAAGTGCTCCACGTAGTCATCCTTCTCATTGGACCTGAAGGTGTCCACCTGAATCCGAAAAGGAACACCTTTCTCCCCTCCGTTCTTACGTAAAGTGAACTCAGTACTAATGCAGTGCACCTGTTGTAGAAAAAGGTGAAGAATGGATGAGCCAATCTTCCCCAAACTGGCACCCTGTAGACACACTGCAGTGCACATTATGCCACCCACATTTATGACACTGAAATACAACACCGCCTGAGCTCTGTGAGTGCAGCATTTTTCCGAATAAAGCAGAGAGTGTTTGAGGACTGGGAAATCCATAGGGATACCAAGCTGCTTGTTTATAAAGCTATTGTCCTCCCAACCCTGCTATACGCCTGAGAAATGTGGACTATCTACAGACGTCACGTGCAACTCCTGAATGATTCCATCAGTGTTGCCACCAAAAAATCCTGCAAATCTCTTGGGAAGATAAGCGGACAAATATCAGCATGCTGGAAAAAGCAAAGACCACCAGCACTGAAGCGATGGTCCTCCGCCATCAACTCTGCTGGGCCGGCCACGTTGTCTGGATGCCCAACCACCATCTCCCAAAGTAGTTGCTCTACTCTGAACTCAAGAATGGAAAATGGAATGTTGTTGGGCAGGAAAAGAGATTTAAAGATGGACTCAATGCCAACCTTAAAAACTCTGGCATATACACTGAGAACTGAAAAACCCTGGCTCTTGAGCGCTCCAGCTGGAGGTCAGCTGTGACCAGCAGTGCTGTAGAATTTGAAGAGGCATGAATGGAGGGCAAAAGAGAGAAATGTGCCAAGAGGAAGGTGCGTCAAGCCAACCCTGACCGGGACCAGCTTCCACCTCGAAACTAATGCCCTCACTGCAGGAGAACGTGCAGATCAAGAATAGGGCCCCACAGTCACCTATGGAACCACTGCCAGTACACCAATCTTGGATGACAATCCTACTCAGACTATGAGGGATTGCCTAACTAAGTAAGTACCCGCATTTATCATTTGTTGTTGTTAACTGTTGTCAACTTCAACTTATATTGGCCCTATGACTGAAAGACCTCCAAATCACCCTTTCTCCTACAGCCCAGCTGAGATCTTGTAGACTGATGGACACAGCTTCCTTGAGGCAGTGTTACTCTGGCAATAGTATGATAGCTGGGACCCTACACTACGCTGCATGCACAACGTGGGTCTGAATTAGGGGAACACGTGTGTGAGTGAGCGCACCGAGTGAGAGATGCAACTGCAGCGGAGTCATTGCAATGGAAGAAATAATAAAAAGGAGGGGGGGGGGAGAAAACCAATGGAAGAAAGGATAAAAATTTTATTGTCGTTGTATGTTGTTATTAGCATTGCTGTACTGTATTGTAGGGCTTGGCCTCATGTAAACCACCCCGAGTCCCCTTGGGGAGATGGTGGTGGGGTATAAATAAAGTATTATTATTATTATTATTATTATTATTATTATTATTATTAATTCTGACCCTCATTGCGCAATTAGCGTAGGGTCCCAGCTATCATACTTTTGCTGTTCCTCATTTCTTAATGCTTTCTGTCTGACTAAGTCATGTCTCCTCATGTTATGTCCAGAGGCTAAGAATAATACAGGCTCTAATTTAGCAGGCCTAAAAAGCATCAAATTGTAGAAGGCTGAAGAAAAGTCAAATTAATTGGGTGAAGTGGGTGAAGGACAGAAACACCTAAGACTCATGCAGGGTCAGACTAAACACCCAACAAATTGAACATTTTGTTTCCATAATGGCCAAATTGATGCATATGAGAAATTCACCAGAAGCAACCGATGAATTGGTCTAGTCTACCCAAATTGGTTACATCCTGCAGAGGCAAATTCTATTATTCTAAGAGAATAATGACTTTCCAGTTTGAAATAATCATTGCAAATGTTATTTATTTATTCAGTCAGTGATTCAATCACATATTTTAGTTGTTTTTCAAGGTTTCCTAAGCTGACATACTATCCTGAACACAGTCGATCTTCCTTGATTTTGGAAGCTAAGCTAGATCAAGCCAGGTCAGTTACTTGGAACGCCACCAGGAAATACCACGTAGTTATCTGAAAGAATTAGGTGTTAAATTTTGAGGATCTGTTGCTATCAGTGAGATATGATCATACTGGCCCAGGAAGTCATCTGTGCCCATCTAAGGTAATATTCCTATGTAATCAAATACAATTACAAATGGGGTCTTCCTCAAATAACTGCTCCTTCCACATACAAGACCAACAGAGTAGTTCTAACAGCACCAGTCATGCTATGCACATGTTTTTGCACAAATTCAACTATTCCCTGATGTTCACCCATGATAAAGTTAATAGGCATGCAGAAGTTTAGTTCCTTGTCTTTTTATTTTTTAGAACTAGAAACATTTCTTAGAGAACATTCAAGAAGCAAAACTAGTCAGAAGTGGAAGGAAGAATAGGAAGGAGGAAAGAACGAAGTTAAGAGGCCTACCAGTAGGCAACTCCAACTTGCTCCTTTACCTGAACAAATACCGATGTCCGCTTAGTTGGGTCCCATAAGAATTCCACAGTATTGAGCAAGGTAGGATGAATATGGGGCTCCAGGATACCTACTGACATGGGGATGTCTGCAATGAGTCATAAAAGGAAAGGGGTGTCAGGATTTCATTGCAAGCTTACAACATATATGATCATCAGAAGACATGGTATGCACTCTAGGGAGGACAATACGTGGAAGTTGATCTGGAACTCCTGCACTAACCATCTTTAATAGCCTTTCCTAAACTGATGTTCTCTAGATGTTTTGGAGTATGGTGCCCAGTATTCCTAGAAAGCACAACCAATGGCTGTGGTGGCTGAGGATATAATAATAATAATAATAATAATCCTTGTTTAATACCCTGCCACCATCTCCCCAACGGGGACTCGGGGCGGCTTACATAAGGCTAAGCCCAACAGCATCTATATAAATAACAATGTAATGTTCGTTTGTGGGATTAACAGAACTCAAAAACCACTGGATGAATTGACACCAAATTTGGACACAAGACATCTAACAACCCAATGTATGTCCTTCACTGATTTTGTCATATGGGAGTTGTAGTTGCTGGGATTTATAGTTCACCTACAATCAAAGAGCATTCTGAACTCCACCAACGATGGAATTGAACCAAACTTGGCACACAGTTCTCCCATGACCAACAGAAAATACTGGAAGGGTTTGGTGGGCAGTGTCCTTTGGTTTTGGAGTTGTAGTTCACCTACATCCAGAGATCACTGTGGACTCAAACAATGATGGATCTGGACCAAACTCTACATGAATACTCAATATGCCCAAATGTGAACACTGGTGGAGTTTGGGGAAAATAGAATCTTGATATTTGGGAGTTGTAGTTGCTGGGATTTATAGTTCACCTACAATCACAGAGCATTCTGAACCCCACCAACGATAGAATTGGGCCAAACCTCCCACACAGAACCCCCATGTGGGCCACAGCAATGCATGGCAGGGGACGGCTATTACAATAAAATAAAACTACAATATTACAATAAAATAAAACTAAAACACAATAGCAACACAGTAAAATACATACAATACATGAATACAAAAAACAATATTAAATACAAAAGAAAATAATATACAATAAAATAACAATGAGCGGGTCGCATGTAAAAGATAAAATACTAAAATACTAAAAATTCAGGATGAGTTAGGAATGGAGAGGATTAATTGAGGGAGAAACTCATAAAGGAATGGGGTTGTAAAAATAGACCTTTATTTGTTGTTGTTCATTTGTTTAGTCATCTCTGACTCTTCGTGACCTCATGGACCAGCCCACGCCAGAGCTCCCTGTCGGCCGTCACCACCCCCAGCTCCTTCAAGGTCAGTCCAGTCACTTCAAGGATGCCATCCATCCATCTTGCCCTTGGTCGGCCCCTCTTCCTTTTACCTTCCACTTTCCCCAGCATAATTTTCTTCTCTAGGCTTTGCTGTCTCCTCATGATGTGGCCAAAGTACTTCAACTTTGTCTCTAGTATCCTTCCCTCCAATGAGCAGTCGGGCTTTATTTCCTGGAGGATGGACTGGTTGGATCTTCTTGCAGTCAAGGCACTCTCAGAACGTTCCTCCAACACCACATTTCAAAAGGTGGGGAAATATACTCTTCAATACAGGTGGGGAAATACAGGTGGGGAAATATACTCTGGAGAAAAAACGTTGAGGGGGGAACAACTGTGTATGATAGTATGGCTACTCTCCAAGAGCGCAATGGAAAAGCCAGGTTTTGAGATCCCTCTTGAAAGTTTCTAAGGTGGGGGCCTTCCTAATCTCACCAGGCAATGAGTTCCAGAGTCGGGGGGCCACAGAGGAGAAGGCTCTCTCCCTTGTGCTTACAAGACGAGCCTGTGATAATGGCAAGGGCGAAAGGAGAGCCTCCCCTGAGGATCTAAGAGCTCGGGCTGGTTCATGGAGAGAGATCCAGTCACGAAGGTATGGGAATTGTAGTCCAACATTTCTGTAGGGCAGTGGTTCTCAACCTGGGGTCTCCAGATGTTTTTGGCCTACTACTCCCAGCAGGCCCGTAGCCAGGATTTTGTTTCGGGGGGGGGCTGAGTTTCGGGGGGGGCTGAGTCTGAGTGAAAGAGGGTCTACCCTAGCAAACCTTTTGTATCGTTACCCCAATACCCCCATGCATATGGGATATATTGAGTATGGTGATCAGATCATGATATGAATAAACATAACAGTTTAAATAATGCACCAGTAAGGCCTTCTCGTGAGCCACCGTGAGAATTTCGGGGGGGGGGGGGGGGGGGGCTGAAGCCCCTCAAGCTGTGGGTCCCCAGGTGTTTTGGCCTACAACTCCCAGCAATCCCAGCCAGTTTACCAGCTGTTGGGATTTCTGGCAATTGAAGGCCAAAACATCTGGTGACTCACAGGTTCCACGCAGCCTTATATCCAGGGCCGGCCCTAGGTAATTTTCAATGGTAAGCAAACATTATTTTGGCGCCCCCTCCCCCCAACCAATCACTGAAAAATAAAACGTAGAAGGTAGAGGTGAATAAAAGAGTTACCTTACAAACCAGAAATTTACTTACAACATTATGTTTATATAGTTACATTACACAAATTAACTTTTTTAAGAATGCAAATATTTTACTAAACTTAGCAACAATTTTAAGTTTTTGTTGTTATTTTTGGTCTACAAGTACTACACAAAGGTTTCCTGGTCATGCTGTCTCTTCAGAGAAGATTTTTCAGACTAGGGGTTTGCTAATAACAGAAAACTCAATCCCATGCTTGTTGGGTCTGTCAATCAGATTTGTTTTGGAGAACGCAGCCCCAGGAGAATAGACACCTCCTTTTTAAGAAAGTGACCTCTTGTCCTTCAAAAGTGCCATGCCAGCCTGGACCATTACAATGGGTGTGGCAACATAGTCAGCCTCTGGCCCCTTCACTTTAGTGGATACTTTAACATCCAGTTTTCCTTAACACAAATAAACTTGAACACTTTTAAAATTAAAAAGAGATTTTTCTGGCTTTCAATTTTGAAAACTCGTGTACTATTATATCTGTTTCCATTTCATCCAACAAGCCATTTTCAATGGCCAAGGTTGCTAGTCCACTCAAGCGCTCTTGACTCAAAGTTGATCTTAAATACGTTTTATAAGTTTTCTAAGATCTACAGAGACACTCGCTGGAACACCTCAGCAAGCGAGAGTCCAAAAGTTGCAAGCTCAAACTCAGAACC